GGCACATAAGTCACTTCATTTGTGTGTATGTTGTGATACTGCCCGAGTGCCTAGATCGAAGCAGGTGGGTTTTTTAGGGGACAACACCCGGAGCCTTCGACCTAAAGGTTTGATCCACAAGACAGTGGAGCAAAGTCAGGAGATGCAGTCCCATGGTAGTCGGTGACCAACTATCGGTTCATACATCATTTGTTGCTTCAGGATCCTGGAGTTCATGTGCACCATTGGTTCGGAACGAGGGTTTTCCAACTCCCCTAGGTAAACTCTCCGTTTCCACCAACTTGGGTAAAGTCACGGACATTCACTTTTCGTCCTCTCAATCTCGTAAACAACACTCGCGCTACAAGAAGAAAATGAGTAGGACTCCCCTGTCAATGACCGGTTTTTGAGAGTATTTCGAGAAGGGTAGCTGACCCTATCCACCCTCCGTCGTACTAGGACATTTGTGGGCAATTCCAATAACAGTTCACCATAAGCTCTGATTTGATCAGTAGTATTCATGTAAGTGGTCTTCAAGAAGCGTTATTTACTTATCCACCACTCAACGCAAAATAAACCTTAGCTAGTCATTAACCATTGATCTAAGTTAAATAAAATCTTTCGTTCTATTTATCTATAACTTACATTCATGTCGTTTAATAAAAATGTACCTGTGAATTCTATTTTAATTAATTGAATATTCATAAAAGTTATATCTATCTATATATATATATTTTGACTTAGGCCATTGTCTGTAGCATATCTCCCACGTATTCGGTACGTTCATTGAATAACTTTTTTTTTTCAAAGTGCTTCCAATCCTTTCCTTCTTATACTCTTACAAATATTTCTCCATCACTTTTAATGATTATTTTATCATATAACTAATTAAAGCCTAATAATTGTTCATTACTTTCTACCAACTCTTTACTATTCACCTGTAAATATTATTCTCTGTAACTCATCATTTGTTTTCTGGTGTTCTGTCTTTTAATTCTTTGTACGATAAATAGTAAATGCTTAAGCTCATTGAACTTATCCGATGATTTTCAATCTTGTAAGTTATATTCCTAACAGAATAATCTAAATTGAAAGTGTTAAAAATAAAGAAACACTAAATAGAATTAATATCTACTTACAAGTTCACCGGAAATCTGTCTCAGAACCGTCACGTCCTTTGGCAAGTGTATATAACCTTCTAAACCAATAGATCATGGTTGCGTACTTCTGAGGAGTACATTACTAGAACGAAACAGATGTCTATTGCTCATTGGTTTTCTGTAGTGGATCAAATAAAATTTGTATATGACAAATACTACTTATGAATAAAAATTCTCTCCTTAAAACTGTTATGACTTATAGCCTCTGTGTATATTCGCGTGAAAAGTAAAACACCAATCAGAATCCGTTCAGCATAGATAACCCTGAGTCAGCACTTATTTCTTATTGGTCCACCAGTCTCTAAATTCTCTCCGGATTGCTTTTAAGTCCAGAAATCAGTAAGCAGCCTCCACTAAATATGTATTTCAGAATAATGTAATTTATATAATAGCAGACTTAACCGCATCACAAAAATTAAAAATAGTAATTGTACATGATCTAGCCAAAATAACTGAATAAGTGAGACCGTGAGTAATAAACTAGCAATAAATTAAAAATAGTAAATTATACAACAATAATTAATGCGGTTTATCATGATCTTATGATAAAAGGGTATAGAAATGCATAGTTACCTAATCACTATACAATAAGAATAGTTCATTGATTAATCTTAACATTTATCATTCCTTTGATTCTTCTTTCGAATATTACAAAAACTTCTTCAAATCATATGATTGTTCTTTTTTTATTATTTTTATTTTATAACTTTATATCTAATGGTGCTTGATTATTTCATATTTAACTCCTTTTACTAACAAAAACTTACTACTTGTTTGCATGTTAACTAAAAGTAATAGATCATATTAAACAAATCAGCATCATATGGGTGTGTGTGTGTGTGTGTGCAAGTGTTTAATAATGAATTATATATTGTAGTTACTTTTTATACTCTAGTCTCCAATATCAACAATCTTTCACTATATATGTTCAATCTTTTTATATTGTTTTATCTAAATGATCAATTATTATTTTTTAAACTTTCTTGTTGACTAAATGAAATGTGTTCACATATATCTGTAAGGGCTCCCAAGTGCCCTGGTACGACCGAGAGTGGGGAGAGTCCGCTCCCCCCCTCAAAATGCTCTCACGTATACAGCCTCTGCCAGAGAAGTCCTAATCACTTTCTTCTCGTGGTGGGGGTGTTGTTTACGAAAATGAGAGGACGAAAATCGAATGTCCGGCGCTTTAACCGGATTCCAAATCAATGGTGCACATGGGCTTCAGTATCCTGCGGGAACAAATGGCGTATGAACCATTTGTTGGTCACCGGCTAACATGGGACTGCATCTCCTTACGATGCTCTACTGCCTTGTGGATCAGACCTTCAGGTCGAAGGCTCGGGGTGTGGCCCCCTGAGAAAACCACCTGGTTCGATTTGGGCACCCGGGCAGTATCACAGCCTTCACACATATCGAATGAAATGTGTGTCGCGCATATATATTTGGTGTCTCCTTATACCAATATCTATGTGTTAAAATAAATAAATAAATAAATATCTGTAAGTATTCATTCTAACTGATTGGGACCAGGATCAAATACTTACTTATCTACGCCTGTTACCCACAATGGAGCATAGGGCCAGCATTCTCCAACCCAATCTGTTCTGAGCCTTCCTTTCTAGTTCTATCCAATTGTTCTTCATTCTTCTCATGTTTGTTTCCATCTATCGGCTCAGTATTTTCTTCGGTCTTCCTCTTCTCCTTTGGCATGTGAGTAGGATTTCCCTGTCAATGGTCGCATACACGTGGCCATATGAGAGCATTTGGAAGAGGGAGAGTTGACTCTTCCCACTCTCAGCCGTACCAGGGCATTGGGGGGGGGCTCAATCATAGTCCTAAATATCAATGTGAAAATTCAAGCGAATTTAAACTTTATCCCATTCCAAAATCGAGACTCAGTAGGTAGGTGGATAACAGGATGTCGTTTCATGCGAACAGAACTGGGTCCGAGTCCGAAAGTGAACGACAACTTTGAGATGCAAGCACATCCAGCTAATGAGTCCCAAATAAGACGAAACGTGCATCCTGGGTACTATCGGTAGCCACTATTCATCTTTGCTTATTATGTACTTAGGTTTTTAGTCATTGTTTTATTGTTAACTTAACAAAATGTAACCATATTATTATTACTCTTTTTTAACTGAGGTTTTATATTCTTATCAGTTTCATGTGTAAACGAGTTAAAGTTCTTCCATGATGAAATATATTGCTTAATATAAATTAATCATGTTTCACCTTCAGAATATCTTTGTTTTTCATAATAATTATTCGTTGTTTTTAGTGTTAAGTAGTTGAAAACGAGAGACAAGTGATTGTTTATTGATCTAAGTTTGATGTTAGTTGACGCGGGTTAGTTGTCATGCTTAAATGATATAATACTTTTTTTTATAACAGTCATTAATGTTACCACTTGGACACATATATATTTACACTTTTCAATTATTCAGTAGTCACCAATATCATCTTTCTCTAATCCTTACATCTAATAGTGTTTTATCGTTCAACACTAAGTGTGTAAATTACTGATTAGAAGTTGTTTATTTAATTTTTCCTTGTAAAAGCTCATCTAATTTTAGCAATCACATCACATTCTTTTATTTTACTGAACATTTCATTTCTCTGAATGAGTAGCCTTTTAAGAAAACTGCTTGCTTCTTTTCGGATATACAGGCAGTATCCCTGTCCATACACAAATTCAACGATTTGTGTGGCGCATATGTATTAGTGCCCCTTTGTACCAAAGTTTGTGTCTAAATAAACAAAATAAAATTTAGTGTTCTGTTGCTACTTTTTTTTCTTTTTAGTTCTAATTATCAGTATCCAATCAAAGTTAGATAACTGTTGTAACCGTGGAAGCACTATATGGCCATTTTTCATAGTATTGGCTATCCATACTCCCTAAAACAGGAACTGAACCCATAACCTCCGATCTCTCGCGCGAACGCTTGACCTCTAGATGCGCACTACTCAGAAATACCTTACTAGGACGAAAAGGTTGTCCAATGCCTCTAGGTTTCAAATAGCTGCCTAGCTTTGATTGGTTCACAATGCCAATGGAATTCTAATTAATTTAACTCTGGAATACACTAGCTATAAACCAGCTTTTTGTAATACAAACTTTGTTTGAACTTTGTCACTCTATTTCGTTTTTTTTCGTTATTGAACTAGACAAAAATAGTTCAGAGATTACAAATTGGTCATTCGTGTGGTTAATACATCAAGTAATTGGATAAAAATACTATTCTAGTCTTTTTATAGCTCAAGAATATTAAAAATATGCTTTCCGTCTAAGTAAACTAAAGATTCTGATTTTATTCATCATCGGTAGCTATAAGTTGAACTATGTGTCGAAGTTATAATTTATCATGCCTGTTGATTAAATGGATAATTTGTAGTTCACACTGCTGATTGACATCAGACAGACAGCCTTTGAAACCTTAGGGAGAGGAGTGCCGAATAGCTGTTTCGTGCTGTTTAGATGAGGCTCCTTAGGAGTGTACACCTACGGCCTGTCGAACTGTTAAATCTTATGCGGAGCTATAAAATTGATATCCAATAATTCATATTTTTTTCTGTAATGGGTTGGCAATATTTTACTACCATTATCCATTTCCATTGGTGATACAGTTTTTACACTACCATAGTATATCACTTCAAGAAGGCCTAAAGTTTATGCGTTCTCTTCCTTCGTATTTGTGAATTGTCGAAGATCTTCATAATTAGACAATTCCTTTGTTTAGTTACTCCTTAGTTTTCAGTTTATGATATATGCTTTCTACAGATTAATCAATCTTCATAAATTGTTCTATTCTAATTATAAATAATTAATTATCTATCATTATCATTATTAATAATTTCTAGAGATGTCAATTTGATGTATTTAAATGCTGTTTATTGCCTTGGTCACATGGGTGTTGTACTAGCACAAATGCCACATACACAAGAATTAATTTTACAATTTCTTCAACAAAATTTAAATCCAGCTAAACTGTTACCTCAATTAGAAATTAAATCAATGGAACAATTAGGTTGTATGGTGATTGGTGGATCGGTAAGTATAAATAAATTGTTTAATTGTTATCTTTACTTTTTTCACTACACATATATATTTTACTCGATTGAATTCTAATGTACATAAATCGAAAGTATACCGTTTATCCGTTTGATCTAGATAGAGATTTAACTTTGAGTAAATGTGTATCATCGACTTCCTCCAGTAATGAGGTTTGTCTCTATCTACCTTTTGACATTGAAGTGACTCGGGCCTATAACCTGTCTATTACTATCTCAACATATCGCCTGTCTACTTCATTTATTATTTAAACTTGTAAATGACCTACCATCTTGTTAATTTTGTTTATGTAACAATCATTATATTAAAAGGTGTTGAATATTACAGGAGTGGCTTCATTTCTCTCACAATAAAACATACCATTCATGTAGATTATAAAATCAAGCCGCACTTATATCGCTGTCGATTTACATTTTGAGTCATGGAGTTAGTTCACATTTAAAAATTCATCTATGGAGTCAAAATGAATCATAACTCATAAGTATTCATCATCCCATGCGGTTATAACCTTCGCTAACTATAGTTTAACGTTTTCGAGCTAATCTCAGTGTTAACCAATTAGCGTTTAATCTTCGAAGTTATGGAGACATAATGCGTCATACACATTAAAATTTCAGAGGTAATATGACTGGGAATATGTAAGTCTGATAATCAGACCTCAGTCAGTCAGCTACAACGTAGGATCAGGCACATATATGCATCATTCCAAGTTGCTGCACCTTATCAGCACAACAAGATGAACAACAAATTCATGGAAGTAGTTACTTCAACCGTAGTAATATATAAAATAAAGATTGCATATAGGAATCAGTTCGTAGAAAGAAAGGTATAAAGTTACTTCACTCTCACGGTTCAAGGGAAGACAAGGAACGTATACACCTACACTATTGTGATCGATTCTGAGCCATGTCACTCACAGTTTCCAACCATTGGTTCCCATAGTCACGCGGACCTCAACCAAGTAATTTGCATCTACTAGCATGGCTCAGACCACAAGTTAGTGACTTCAAGGACTAATGCCACGTTTTAATTTTCCCACCCCTAACTTCTTTCCAACCATCCTCAACACTAGTCAGCATTGCGCGTCGTGGTAATCGGTGTTCATGCATACGTAACACGTGACCCAACCATTTTGATCGATGAAGATTCACAACCTCATCAACTGATTTACCATCATTACTAATACTTACCCGGTGATTTTAGCAGATGCGAGCAATATTTCTAAGGCATCTGTGGTCAAAGACTAGTAGCTTACAAATAACTTAATGTCCACGTTTCTCAGCCGTAAAGTAGAACAGAACGAACTGCTGCGTAGTATGCTCGTCCCTTAATTGATAGACAGACACTTCGTCTTCGCCATAGGTAACGTAAGTCTGAAAAAGCCAAACAAGCTTTTTGATTCCGTGTAGAGATTTCGTCAGACACCAACCAATTAGGGCTATTCAGAGATTGAAGCTAACGTTACTGATTTCATTTCCGTGAGTGAACATCGACTCTGAATTCAGGTGCATCCAGCTGATGAGTCCTAAATCGGACTAAATACTCATCCTGAATACAACTGCATCACAGAGTTGATGTTCACTCTTGAACTTGAACCGAAAGTTAGCAACCATGGATCTCTGCTTAAAATGTTTGCGTCTTCAAGGCAATATTGAAGCAGTCCATACAAGATTTACATATTCCAAGGAGAGTTATCAATTAAAGTTCTAAACATCGTTGAGAAGATTCAATCAACCAATATATGCGAATTAGATACATAACCGCCGTTGAAAAATTTTGTATGATAAGTCTAGAATAACTGGAATTGTATGTGACTGATAAAAAAGCACATTACATATAACTAGACTCTCAAATAGGTGAATCGTCAATGGAATTAATTTCTTTTTCGAATTAGTAACCCTAAACTGAGTAAATAGAATACTGTGTTGATATGATGAACTGTTGAAAAGTTTAGTAATATAAATTGTTGGGGAGATCCAGAGTATCCATCTCAAAGAGTCCATAGGGGTCATGAAAACTTTGGGAAATATTTCATCGAATCATCATTGGATAAAAGTTTCGCCGACACATCTAGAAAGTCAGGAGTCACGTGTCACATTTTTGACTGGATGATTATCTATCTTGCTACTATGTTTAGCAGGGTACTGGAACCTTCCGGAAGCCCAGAACCATCTGAAATACTATAATTGCCCACGATTTTCTGTACACAGACTAACCCTAGAGTATAGCGTCCATTCCACATTTCGCATCTTTTCTATCGTATTCAAGTTATCGTGTAGATTTAGCCTGGGGTTACTAGAAGTGCTTAAGGAACCGATTCAAGTGTTTAGTCAGAAGATTTATCATAAATAAACATAGTTAGAATTAAGCTGAATTCATCAGTGTTAAAAAATGTCAACAAAATGAAGTCTGCGTAGCTTTGATAACTATTCTTTGGTGAATTGGTTAATGGACTTTTCAAAGTAAAATTTCATTTAACAGTTGAATTATATATTATTTTGACTGACATTAGTTTGTTAAGAACTGCCCGTAAATCGATGCTACTTCAACGATATACATATCTGAGTGTTTGGAACAGAAATATTTAACTTTAAGCTGAGCTTGATTCCATAGGACAACGGGTTTTATTATCAGTGCCTGTTGTTAAAAAACGTATTTAAATGCCGACTCTTTTAAACTCTTTAAGTAATAATGAGAGAATGCTATGCTAAAACAGCTCATCACATGTTACACATCCCACTTCTTTCCAGTCATTCAAACTGAATGATTACTTACTCATGATAAAGTTATGTATTACATATGCCTAACTGTTACCGTCTACCTCGGAAGTAGGTTACCAAAATTTATGAGAGGCTAAAGTAAGATGTCACACCAGTCGATGAAGTTACTGATAGTTGAACTGGGCCATGTAAATTGATGTAGAGTACCTGGTTGGGTTCTACGCGATTATCTTAACGAATGGTTAGAGATTGCTACTACTAATACTGTTATTACCTTCATTACTTTGGAATTTGTCTTGTTAATTTTATTGCGTTGTGCTAATGCTGTGTGTTAAATCAAACTCATTGACATCTATGTCAGTTTCCATGTTGTAAGTGACTGATATGAAAAAGTATTATTTTAATAAACTTCTTTCCTTATATTTCAAACATATGAATAACAGCAAAGGGTTTTTGTGGATAATATAATAATTTAATAGTTGAGATCATGAATCAATTGAAGCTAGACCACTATGGGAAACGTGGAAGCACTAGATGACTGTTTCGTCCTATTGTGGGACTCATCAGCAGTGCGCATCCGAGTGATTGCATGAATTTTGATAAATCAAAGTGTGTTTTTTTATAAAAAAAAACAAATTACCTTAGTAAAAATAATAATTCATAATAACGGTTTATTTTTACTTATATTTATGTTCTAGTCAGTTGTTTATGATCAAATTATGGATATACTAACTGCAATTCGTGTTCGTAGTACCCGTGAAATGGCTTTAAATCCACAAATGAAAAACTCTAGATTAAGGTTAGTTGAATTTTACGTATATAATTATTTCAGATTGTAAATAATTAACGTTGTCATTCACTGTTGAAGTCAATTAGCAAACCTACGATTAAGTTCATTGAGTATTGTCTATTGTCATTTTTTAGTCCTTCAATGCTGACGTAATTCTATCGATCAAGTTTATTATACTTAATCGCCCAAATGCCCTGGTACGGTCGAGGGTTAGAGGGGGTCATTTCTTCCTCTCCAAACGCTCTCACATGACCACGCGTATACAGCCACAATCAGGGAAACCCTACTCATTGCCTTCTCACGGTTGTGGCGGTTTTGTTTACTAAATTGAGAGGATGAGAAGCGAATATCCGGTACCAACCAAGTCGGTGGATATGTAGAATCCAACTAGAGGAGTTAGAAAACCGCAATTCCAAACCCGTGATCCTCATGGGCTCCAAGATCGTGTGGGAAAGAGTGACGTAATAACTTATTGTTTATCACTGGCAACTTTGGGATTGCATCTCATTACGTTACTCCACTGCCTTATGGATCTGGTCTCTGAATGAAAGGTTTAAAGAGTATTAGCCTTCTAAGAAATCCACCTGCTTAGTTTTGGGCACTCGGACAGTATTCCAGCCCTCACACAAATCGAATGATTTGTGTAGCGCATATATATTTTGGTGTTACTTTGTACCAATGTTTGTGCTTAAATAATAAATTATTATGCTTAACTAATTAGCTAGTGTTCAACGATATGTGTATAGAACTTTAACTCGTAATTCTAGCCCTTTACAATTGAAACACAATGTTCAGTTATGATAAGACTGTGTTATGTTTTTTTGGTGATTGATGACTAACTAACTAGCATTCATGTTCCAGTTACAGATTCATGTACATAACTTCGAGTCATATCGTATGGTTGAGAGCTAATAATACTCTCTGGTTGTCTGGATCGAATTAGTTCGAGTTGCCTAACCACTGGGTCATACCATTTTGCATTGAATTTCAATAAAATGATTTGTTTTATGTTGAAATCCATTGCTGCTAATATTATTTTATTTATACACTATAATTTTGGTTAGTAGTTAACAATAGAATCCAGAGTATGTGTTTCATCTTATTTGAAACTTGTCAGCTGATTATTCCTACTGAAACTTGAACTTGACATCTCTGACTTTAAATACTATCTAGTTATTCACTTAACTTCTAAATCATGATACACAGCAACTTGTTATATAGGTATGAGATTTTTTATTCCCCGAGTTCATGTTTTTCTGAATTAACTTAATTTCTGTTGGATTCTTGTAGAGTTACAAATCAGTTTCAATGCCATAATCAATAGTGAAATTTAGGTGAAGTGAGACACAAACAAAAGTGAAGTGTGTTAATCTATGATTCTATTTCTAACTTCTGTTCAAATAATCAAATCAACTAGTTGTTACAAGTAATATCTGTATATCAGTTCATCAATGAACCCGTATACAGACAGACAGAGAATGATCAGATGCAATTCACGCAGTTACAAACGTTTTTTTCAGCTTAATAAATGACCATCTAGTTAGTTGATCTACATTTCGTTCATATGGGGATTACAGTGTTTTCTAAAACGTATTCACAGTTTTTTCCAATCTCAACTTTTAAAAAACGTACTCTAATTAGATTGGATTACTATTGACTATATTATTTACTTACACCTGTTACATCACATAGAAGAGCATAGACCACCCATCAGGATTTTCCATCTGACCCTGTCCTGGGCAATCCTTTCTAGTTATTTCCAGTTTTTATTCATCCTTTTCATGTCTGCTTCCATTTCTCGACGTAGTATGTTCTTTGGCCTTCATCTTCCCCTTCAGGATTCCAAATTAGTGCTCGCTTCGTGATGCAGTTTTATGAGCTACGCAATGTATGTCCTATCCACTTCCAAAGTATTTTCCTAATTTCCTCTTCAGATGGAAGCTGAATTGTTATCTCCCACAGTAGTTTGTTGCTGATGGTGTTCGGCCAACGGACATTGAGTATCTGGCGTAGACAATTGTTTATAAGTACTTATACCTTTTTGATGATAGTTTTAGTAGTAATAGTTTCAGCTCTGTACAGTTGAACTGTCGTGGCGTTCGTGTTGAAGACTTCTACTTTGGTATTGGTTGACAGTTGTTTTGAGTTCTATAAGTTTTTCAATTGTAGGAATTCGGCCCTTGGTTTGCCGTCTGCATCATATTATCTTTCTTTCTTTATGATACTATCCAGGTAGGTACGTGAAAGTTTCCAGCGTTTCTCCATCATGTGCTTGAGTTGTTCTTCGTGTTGTATTTCACGATGTTTATGTTTCTCTTGTGTATATTGAGGCCTACTGATGCAGTCGAATTTATTACTCTTGGCCTCTCTTTCTTTATCTTCTTATTTCCATTTTTATGTTTATTTAATCGTTTCTTTATTTCGATTTTGTCTTGTTTTATAGACAGTTATCCGAAGCTATGATTAATGTGTTTGCTAATATATCAACTTTTGTTCAAGGTCAACCGAAACTGTACAAATTATTACATCGTCTTTTAGAGCATTATGTTCATGTTGATATGGAATTAGATCAAGACTCGAAATCGACCAGTATTCTTGTAAGTTGGATTTGTTTGTTTATACGGGAATTATTTCTACTGTGTTTAAAGTTGTCCTACTTTTAATCACAAAATGACAGGTTTGACATTCATTTCATGCATCACCTTTTATCATTAGTTTTTCACATATACAGTACAACTGAAAACCGTGTACGTACATCTGTACTTAATGAATTGTTTTCTTAACGTTACTACCACCTTGACGTGGTGGTCGGGCTTGCCTGTTGTGGTGAACCAATCGGGCTATACTGGCTAGAACAATCTTTCCTCAAGATCTTACCATGCCAGATAGATCGGTTGAAGAACGGTTGGACTAAGAGCAGCAAATCCAAAGTTCGAGGACGAGGTCGTACTGCTGACTGTACAGTGGTGTGACGGTAGTTAAGTGTTTCACTCAGGCCAACAGTTATAACAGCGATGCTGCATTCCCACAAAGGAAGGGTGACGTTAGAAAAGGTCGACCCTAAAAATGTACACCACTTCTTATCCCATGAATTTCCCTCTTCGTTGGTGAAATTTCAACCAGTACAGAGCTAACACAGAAAGTCGCGTGTCACCGGCCTGAAGTAGATGTCCCTTGAACACTGCGGTCACTAAGACCAACTCTTATCCAATCTCCTTTTCAGGCACCACTAAAATAACCCTTCGACAGTGCGGGTAACCAAGAAGAGATAACAACCCGTATACCTCTAACAGCACTCAAGACTGACTGACAATACTACTATTCGCTTTATTTATTGAGTATTATTTGATTTTTTTTTAAAACGAAGTATATGTGAAGAAGAACGTTTCTCTCGACAATGTTGTAACTTATTAATGCTATAAAGTCGTGACCAGAATTATTCAAAATTTAGGCTCTTTATTCATTTTCATTCTCAGTTTTTATAGCTAGGCAGTGATGTAATAATGAAATCTACTTTCATATAACATCTATTGTGTAACTTTGCAACCTTGCTTTATATAATAACAGATAAATCAATAGATACATATTCAGTTATTTTCAAAGGAGTCAGTCTACTCTTGACATTCAAAGATTCGTCATCAAAAAGAGAATTTAACCCTAAACGTCATCGAATAAAATATCTTTCTCAAAGATTACAGCAATCAGTTATTCAAGATTTATTCTATAGTGTCCTCTTTTAAACGTCCATATATACTGTAAAGTACTATAATGCTTAATAAATATCGGAGAATAACCACTATTGATACATTTTCATTATATTCCATTTATTTAATCATTCATTATATTTATTTATTTAAACACATAAAGATTGGTACTAGAAGACACCGAACAGATATGCGTCACATAAATAATTCGATTTATATGAGGGCTGGGATACTGTTCGGGTGCCCAAACCGAAGCAGGTAGTTTTCTCAGAAGGCCACACTCGGAGCCTTAGACCTAAAGGTCTAATCCACAAGGGAGTGGAGCAACTTCATGAGATGCAGTCCCATGGTGGCCGGTGACGAACAATATGTTCATACATCATTTTTTCCTTCAGGATACTGGAGCCATGTACACTATCAATTTGGAATCAAGGTTTTCTAACTCCCCTATGTGGTCTCTTCGTTTCCGCCAAATCGGTTAAAGCGCTGGACATTCACTTTTCGTTCTTTTAGTTTCGTATGGAACACTTTGGACGCGAGAAGAAAGTGAGTAGGACTTCCCAGGTAGTGGTTGTATGCACGTTGCCATGTGAGAGCATTTAGAGAGGGAGAGCTGACTCTCCTCATTCTCAGCTATACCAGGGCATTTGGGGACATTCATTCATTGTATTATTCAATGCATATTTATTAAACTGTTAAGAACATTAGACGGATTAAGTTTCTGTTGCTATCCAACTGTTGAATTTTGTATATTGTCATTTTGAGGTTGGCTTTCAGCACAGAACTGTATCATCTTCGTTTTTTTCAACGAAAAGATCTATCTTTTTTTTGTTGGAGATACATCTTCAATAAACGACTTAACTGAAGCGTTCTTTATTTTCCTCCTGGCTCCAATCAAATTACTCATGAACATTCATTAGTTTTCTCTATCTAAGAGTTATAAACCTTGTCATATGTTTAATATATTATGTTTTATCCTCCTGTGTATAGTCTCTGTCAGCTTCAAAATATTTTTTTGCTCCTTTTTCATGTGAATTACTTCGTTTGTATTGCATCTACTGTCCTACTGCGTATTAGTAATTGTTTATGGAACGTTCTATAAATTGTTGCAATTTTCCATTCTTTCCGATTATCTATAACCTCAGATAAGATTACTGATCGTTTTTTTAAATCTTGTAAATGCTTATCTCCTGTTGTCGGCACTTTATTTCCAAATGTAGACAATAGCAGCTCATGGTCTTGGACAACTTATTCCTGTGATTGCAATCGTAAGTTAATTACGTAATGTTTCTGCTTATTTGCTTTACACTTTATATGTATTACAGAATGCGTGTGTATATATGTATGTATTTGTCAGTGAACTATCCACAATTATTTTCGATCACCTTGAGTCTTAATCAACACAGATCTATCGATTAATGACTTGCAAACGATTAGACAAGACAGGATTTTCATTATTAATAAGTAGGATTGTGTATGTTAAACTACTGCTCTATTCTAGATCATTAAAGCAATTAAATATGTAATATTATTTTATTTAATGGAAACAAGTACGGAAAACGTAACACCCACCATCATACACAAAATGTTATTGGAACTCTCAAGGCATATATTATAACCATTAAGTATATGAAGTAGAGTAATTAACGATTTGGATTTTCCAATCCATTTTTCATATCCTTAACTTCCCACAGACAATAACTGGATTCTAATCCTGCCTGCGGGATCGTGTATAAGCACTGTCAAGGAGTCGCATACTAAGACGAAACAGCTGTCTATGTTTTCAATGGTAGTCCAACATTGATCGGTTTATGATCTCAATGACAAACTCAACAATCTTCACAACCTTATAATGATCATATTGTTGTTATTGTTATTGTTATTTATTTATTTTTAATGTTTAGTTATTAAAACGTTTATCATCAATACAAAATCCAAATCAACGTTTACAAAAATTATTTCGAGAATTTTGGTTATCTGTTACAGTGATGGGATTTGCTGATCCAAATTCAAGTTAGTTAATTCATTTTAGATAAGATGAATGGCTAATGTTCATTATCTGTGGATTGGGATGGGTTTTTTTTTGTTGTTTTACAGTTAAATAGTCTTATGGTAAGAGTTTTACTTTATTCGTTTAGAGCCTAGCACTAATGTGCATCGACTCAAGTTGTCATAATAATCAGAAACAGTATGATTTGAAAAGACTAAATGATATTTTAAACATAAAAGAATACGTGAACTTAAAATCTAGATTGAGATAGAGAGTTGATTCATTTATACGATTGCAACCAATTTTCAGTCATGTCTTTCAATATCTCTAATTATGATTTACTATAGTTATACAGTTTGCATCTACTAGCATTGCTTTGTTCAGTAGTCTATGACTTTATGGACTGTTCACTTCTGTATTTCTTTTAACTTACTCCTAATTAAACAAAAATCATTGGTTGTGGTATACAGCGGTTGGTTACCACCAATATATAATTCAACAATTTCAATTGATGATGATTTACAAACTTATCCATCAATTTGTACAATAGTTTCTGATTAATCATATTAGTCAGTGATGTGCTATTTACTTCAATTCGCTTACCTAGAACAGGTTTATGTATTGGGTTTTAAACCATAGTTTTGTAATTAGACCTAATGATGTTGCTTGGTTGCCTAAGCAAAGAATTAGACGTCTCTAGATTCAAACCTTTTATCCATTATTTAGGATTTGTATGTTTTGATCAGTATGATTACGTAACTTAAATGTCAATACATCTTTTCGTTCTTTGTTCCAAGGCATAAACTATTGTTTATATTATTATGTAATGTCTTTTTTTTCCTGTAAAAATAACTGTTATCATCTTGTAACTTGTTGTGTAAAGCAATATGGCCTGTAGAATACTATCGTGGTCTTTGTGAAATTGCTATAAAATCTCCAGTTCTTCTTTTAAATGATTCCTTACGAGCTGAACTACAACAAAGCTCTGCATTAAGCCCTCGGAATTTATCACAAGTAAGTACATTTTCTTTATACAGTAGTATTTTCCTCTGTTTTAAAAAGTCTTTGAATATATGGAAGAAAATGAGTTATTTCCACAAAACATTTGGGTTTCGTTCATTAAATCACATCTTCGATACTCGCTTCGCTTATTTTGATTTCAGAGCTCAATCAGTATGATTAATCTTCACACGTATAACAAATGTGTGAATTGAAGCTCAATGCATGAATGTTTATTCAGTAAATGGTATACTCGAAACACTGATTAGTTATTTTGTCCTAATATAAGACTTCTCAAGTGTAGGGTATCCATAATCATGTTAGCAATGTTAGACTACGGAGATCATATATTGCTAGCCATAAGACGCTATCATAATTCTAGATAAGACACAAGCACCCTGGTACGGCCGGTTGTTGGGAACAGTCTGTTCACCCTCTCGAGATGTTCTTGAATGGCCACGCCAACATAGCCGCAGTTAAGGAAGTCTTACTCACTGCCTTCACATAGTAATGGCAGTGTTGTTCACGAAATTGAGAAGACGAAAAGCGAATATCCTGTGCTTTAATCGCGTTAGTGGGTATGGAGGATCCAAGTACATGAGTTGGAAAACCACAATTCCAAACTAGTTGTCCATATGTGGCGCATATATATTTGATGCCTCGTACCAATGTCTGTTTTCTTAAATAAATAAGTGAAATAGACCTAATATTCTTATTGAAATGCTTATACGTCAGTCATTCATGTAATACGATGAATTCGAGTGCACGTACAAATCCATTGATAATTTGAATTCAATGGTATTTATTCCATACATACAGGTAATTTTCTTCTTCAATGAATATTTTCTAGATTGATGTAACTGATATACGCAATAAATTATGCATTTTATTGGATAATAATACTGAAACAACTTCATTAATTAATCGAATGAGTGTTACTCAATGTATTTATTTAATGGCAGTCTACAGACTCGAATCATTGTGGTATGTTTTACATATTATTTCTAATTGATGTATTTCTTGTTTTATTTTCTACTTGATTAGTTAGTGTATTGAAATGATACCTTCCTAATATCACAAATTAAGTTGAAACACATCGGACAATCCTTTTGTCTATATTGTTATTATTCAAAATTTAATTCATTCACTGTATCATCGCAAAAGGTTTTCCGTGTAACCCTCCCTTCCTGCATGGTTAGGTATAGAGTACAAGATATACGTTTCTTCTTATCTGGTACTCATCAACTAACTATGCTATCCTGTGTTGACTTTAACCGAAATATCTATCTTATTCCTTACTGGTTTTCACAATGGATCACTTCTTTTTGCGTTGTGTTGTTGCCATGTTTCCTGAATATTTCACCTGAAAAAAATAGATTACTATTAATTGTTCTTTAATCGAATGCATACCATTAAATGAAGTGTTGTCAATCTTGTATTCTAATTGATTGATTCCCATGTTCACATTTAATATTTCTATAAATACCTACATTTTTTCCCCTTTTTTCATCAATTGGATTAGAAATTACCCTCCACCTTTTTTATTTTATTTTACCTTTGGATAATTGGACAGGGGGAGGTAATGATAGAAATCTGATCAAATTGTATATTTTGAGTTTCATTAATTTTTGTTTATCTATAGGTGTGTCATAACAGTTTATTTTCATTTCTTGCTCTCATATTACTTTCATAGTATTGGTCATTCATCTGATCCTGAAGCATTGCATCGTTTGTTCATGTATTTAGAAGATAATATCATTATAAAGGATAAATTTGGTAAGTTTATCTTTTCACTATTGATATTCATATAAGTTGTATATTTGTAAAATTTTGTTATCTTTACTCTGATACTGGTTGGCTCAGTGGAACACCTTTCATTGTTGTTTTGTGCAACATCAGTTTCACTTTACAGTATAGCGCTGTGATCTGGGCTGGGATCTGTCCATCCTTTATGATTCCCTGACTCAAATCTTATAGGCGGTGCAACTCATTGGCTTGATGTGTTATCACATATGGCTCAAAATGAAAGACGATGACAACCTTATCATATTTTCCTTTTATATTCTTCATAAAATTGTGGGGAATTCATTCAACTGAACAAGGTTATTTTTTGTTGTAAAACTATGTATACCATATCCTATTATACAAAACCGAAGTTCTTGGATTCGATTTCCTGATGTGGATTTATGAATGAACACTGTTGACGAGTTCCATAATTGGAAGAAACAACCATCCAATGCCTCCAGGTTTTCAACGGTTATATAATTAGAATCAATTCGTTGTTAAAACTATAAACATTTGTTTTTTATCGTACTTCTCTTCCATCCTTTCGTCTTTCTCAATGTTATGTGGCACATGCTCTTTTTTATGCCAAGTTGTATCAGATTTCATGTATATTAATTAAAATTAAATGATGTAGAAATAAAATTATCGCGGTTGAATTTAAATCTCAAGTGGTTAATCCATTGAAGAATGCAAATCTACGTAGAGCATCTGTCTAAGCTACACGTCTTCATTATTTCAGTATGGTTCAAACATGAATATTCAAAAATGTATCCAGTTTGTGACAGTAGATAACCTTCTAGCTCATTCATAGAAAATTTACAATCAATCTTACATTATCGCTTTCTGGCCGACCTTTGATGGTTGCCCAAACTACAGATAAGTAACCTGTGTATACCACTTCAATGTATATTTAAAAATTCAACTGGTCCTGTGGAGATAACTATATTAGTCGTACTATCAGACAACTTAACCAACAAATTGACGACCATCTCCTTTAATAATTTAGAAAGGATCAAATTAAAATGATGTCGAGTTCCATTTTATCAGACTTGATCGATAGTGGTTATGTGAGGTATAAAAATAAATCGTTCCTAGTTATCTACTTTATACCTACACCGTTTCCTAACAGGGTTCGAATTCGTCTTTTTTGACCTACAAACTGTAGAGATTTCAACCTAAAACCTTAATCTTTGTATTACTCCTGTCCATTCCTTGACTGGGTATGTCATATAAAATTATTTGATTGATGAGTATTATTACTATTTTCTATATTCTTTATTTGTTTGTTTTGTTCTTTCAGTTTAGTATATATTATTCACTATCAGACTATTTGAACACCTCTCATTGCATACTTTTGATAGTTTTTCATGTTGTTTATCTTAACGTCTTTTTTTTCCAGTTTTCTAATCAACCTCTTATATTGAATCATTGATTCACCTCTTTATTATTCTTATAACAACTAATAGACTTTATTATCAAGCTAACAGTTTGTAATTTTTACTAATTACTGATTATATTCACCCCCAAATGCCCTGGTACGTCTGAGAGTGGGAGAGTCCGCTCACCCTCTCGATATGCTCTCAAACAGTGTGTTGTTTACAAAATTGAGCGGACGAAAAGCGAATTTCTGGCGCTTTAGCCAGTTACTGGACACGTAGGGTCCACCCAGAGGAGTTAGAAAACCCTCAGTCCAAATCAATGGTGTACATGGGCTCCAGAATCCTGAAGGAACAAATGGCGTATGGACCAATCGTTGGTCATCGGCTACCATGGGACTGCATCTTCTTACGATGTGCCACTGCCTTGTGGATCAGACCTTTATGTCGAAGGCTCCGGGTGTGGATTTCTGAGAAAACCACCTGGTTCGGTTTGTACACCCGAGCAGTATCATAGCCTTCATACAAATCAAATGAGATTTATATGGCGCATATGTATTTGTTGCCTCCTTGTACCAATATCTATGTTTTCAAATAATAATAACAATAATAATAATAACTGATTTTGTTATGTTGAAAAATAGAAATAAAACGCGAGAGAATAATAATAATAACGGAGTTTATAATAAACAGTTAAACGTAGATAAAGTATTTTTGAATACAGAAGGAATAAGTCATTTCTATTGATTGTTCGATTCTTTCTATTAATGTTTTGAACTAAAACTTGACTAGTCTCTGTTGATATATGTGTATCCTATGCTGATTGCCTCGGTATTGTGATTAATTCTCAAGTATTATGAGTAGAGATGGATAGTTGCTAACACTGAGTTCGAGTCCCAGAGTTAACACCAACTCTGGGATACAGGTACATCCAGCTGACGAGTCTCAAATCGGGAGAAACGCATGTCCTGGGCTTCAATGTAAGTCACCACCACCTCTGGTTAGAATGAAGCTTGGTTTGATTACGTGTGTATCGTGATGGGAATCAGTATATTATGTAAAATTTATTATTTGGACGTTAGAATTAGATTTATTTATTTATTCAGTACATAAACATTGGTACAAGGAGGAATCAAATAGGTATGCTCCACAAAAATCGAATGATTTATGTGAGAGCTGGAATACTTCCCGGGCGCCCAAACCGAGACAGGTGATTTTCAGAGTGTGCCTCTTCACGAGCCGTTCATATAAAGGTCTAATCCACAAGTCTGTGGATCAACGTTCGGAGATACAGTCTCCTGGTAACCAGTGGTCAACAATAAGTTATTACACCATTTGTTCCCTCAGAATCCAGGAACCTATGAGGATCATTGGTTTGGAATTGTGGTTTCCATATTCACTGACGGTAAATGTGCCGGACATTCGATTTTTGTTCTCTTAATTTTTTAAACAGTACTCCTGTCGCGAGAAGACAGTGAGTAGGACTTCCCCGACAGTGCCTGCATATGTGTGGTTATGTGAAAGCATTTCAAGAGGGAGAGCAGACTCTCTCCACCATCGGCCGGTACCAGGGCATCTGGGTGATCCATTTTACTTGTTCGAACGTTTAATAGCTACATAACGATATAATTTATGAATGTTTATTGTCATTTACATTCAAACTGTTCACCTCATACATGTTATTTGTTTGTGCGGCTGGCTATCTGGTTGTGATCCGCTTGATTACTATAATCAATAGCTGTAGACTTCGGTTGGCATTTCTCAAAGCCGTTCTCAATGGTGAGGGGGGGTACATTGAGTTTTTGTCTTCCCTTAAATTTTAAGTGTTCTAGTTGACTACGTCGATTTTTTTTCTATTTTTTAATCCTATCAATCCATATCATCAACTAGAATTGTGTTTTCAATACCTAGTCTTTTCCATTACACATGTACCGGTTTCTATATTACATATGAATAATTGACAATGCATAAGGGTTTTCATATGAAGAAACTCTCCTTATTATTCTATCTTTTATTTTCAATCATGTATTTTCTCTTAGGTATGTGGACTTGTATTTCTCAAGTGGCTGTACGGATATTTACACGTTATCTTGCTCAAATGAAAGCCAAGGTGATGTAGTTATTATTATTATTTGTTTCATTTTAGATCTCAGTCACCTTTGTTATTCTATTTTACTATAACTACTATAATTATCATCTCTTCATTCTTTAATCTAATGTAACTCACTGATGCGATACTCGATTATAAACTATATCAGTTTGATTATGAAAATACCTAGTACTGGTATGACATGTTCAGTCACCATGCTAATATTTCATTACTTCAATTTTAATACAATGAATGTGACTCTTTCTGTGCTTTTCACTATTATCCTGCCAAAATATAACAAGGTTAACTCGTGAATTTAACTGTGAAAATACTACAATCTCCATGAATCGCTGATGCGGTATGGCAACCTGGACCGATGCACATATATGCCTGGTCCTACGTTGTAGCTGACTGACTGACTGATACAGATTATAATTATGTGCTCACTAGCAACTAGCTTCTAGATATAACTTATGGAGTTCTACTGCGAAGCTGTAACCAGTGTAGTCCAATCTCGATCGGATGTGAAACAATTATCCACTTCAGACAATGGATAAAGCGTTGCGCAAGATCATGAATCGATTACAGTTTGATATTAATACTGTTGAATGCCAGCTCAGTGGTTTAGACGTTAAGCGTCCTCGGGCGAGATCTAAGGTCCTGTGTGCAGGATCATGGGTGCGCGCTACCGAGGAGTCTCATCCTGGGACGGAACGGCCATCTAGTTATTCCAGGTTTTCAGTGGTGGTCTAACATAGATCAGTTGATGATTTTAATCAGATTCTGAAAACTGATGTTCACAAAACAAAACCATTGAATTTGTAAACTTGATTGCAGTCAACACAATTCATAGAATAGATTCACTTCATGGGAAAATGTTACCACAAGTTGTACTGCTGAATCAAGTGAGTCGAGGTGAACATTACAGACTGATCACTTTTCTCAACTAGTATCTTGGAACATTTCTTGTTCTATTTATCATATATGATTGCTTTTAAAAAAAAGAAATAGTTTATATTCTGTTTCCTAAATATTAAGCTTGAAAAGTGAGAAAATATGTATAGTACAGTGACATATTTGAGCGATTTTTCTAAAATAACCGCTTCAAATTTCAGTCTTTTGTTGACCAATTAAGAAAACTGATCTTGTCAATCAATCTATTCTTCTTATTAATCTTTGAACATATGAATATTGGTGCAAAAAGGCATCGAATAAATATGCGCCACACAAGTCACTTGATTTGTGTGTGCTCTGTGATACTGCCCGGTTGCCCAAACCGAAGTAGTTGGTTTTCTTAGCGTGCCACAGTTGGAGCCTTCAACCTTAAGGTCTAATCCACAAGGCAGTGGAGCAACGTCAGAAGATGCAGTCCCATAGTAACTTGTGACCGACAATAGATTCTTACCCCGATTGTTTCCTCAGTTTACTGGTGCCCATGTACACCACTAAGGTTTTTCAACTCCCCTCGGTGAACCTTCTGTGTCCACCAACACGGGTTAAGCGCTTTTCATTCTCTCAGTCTCATAAACACACCGTTTAAGAGAAGGCAGTGAGTAAAACTTCCCGGACAGTGGTTGTATACGCGTGGCCATGTGAGTGGACTCTCCCCACCATTGAACGTACAAGGGCATTCGGGGGCTCAATGATTCCTTTTTGTATGTAATTCAAGAAAAATAACGAAATATGAAGTTGTTTCTATACTTTTAGAATATATATATATCTCGAACTCTTACATGGGCATGAATTTATATTTCATCAGTTTACAATTAGAGATTTCACTCAAAAACTAAAAGATTGATTCCTCTATTCTGATTGACTTGTCACTAAACTATAATTTTACATACAAATATTCGTGTATTAATTTTCTCAGTGTTGTTTTTTTTTTAAAAAATTTTCTACTAACTCAGCCATTAGATATTGTACGTGAATCAATTATGGATATGCATGCTCAATTCTTGTTGGTCATGTTTACACGTATACATAAAAGTTTACGTATTGTAGCTGACGAGTTTCTTAGTATGTTAGCTAAAGAGTAAGTGATGTAATAAATTTTTTCCTCCTATTAATTAACAGTTTGTGGAACGATACCTATCAGTTCATAATAAAACATGATTCATGAAAATTAATGATTTTAGGCAATAAAATTATACACGTTGAAATCATGAGCCAATTGAAGCTAGACCACCATGGAAAACCTGGAAGCACTGGACGGCCGTTTCGTCCTAGTATGGGACTCCTCAGCAGTGCGCATCCACGAACCCGCCCCCCGCGGGATTCGAACCCAGGACCTACTGGCTTCGCGCGCGAGCACTTAACCATTAGACTACTGAGCCGGCATACAACGGTGTTAATGTCTAACTCCAACCAATCCACGAAGTTGCGCCACCGTACACCATTGTCTTCAGTGAGTTCCTATCTCACAACAGACCTGGTTCAACTCCACTGGTAACGACTTCTCACTAGAACTCCAGGAGTGTCTCCTGAAGTCAGTCACTAGTGAGCAGGTGATTATTATTATTATCAGAATTATAGATTTATGAGAAAAGGGTTCTGATATAATGGTATTTTACTGTAATATGATGAATACCACCAAACTAGTGACCGAGATTATGTTATCACTAGATTGGGTACTCAATTGAATCGTGTTATACACAATTCATGATCATATATATAGAGAACTAGAGTATAAACTAGGCTATGTTTTATTCAATACAATTACAAAACGATTTACACTTAATGTGTGCAGATCAGAAGTCAATAATAGGAAGAAAAAATCACAAATTAAATATTCAGTAAGCTGAGTGTCTGTTAGCTGACACACAGTAGTCAACCAACACTAGAGGGACATCAGGATTGATCAAAGCAGAAGCATTTAAATCAGAGATGGAATACGGCTAGCAGTGCAATTCATGATGTACGTTTCGTCCCATTTGAGAGTTGTCAGCTGGATGTACCTGCACTCTGTATTTAACATTCATTCCGGGACTTGAATCCAGTATCATTTAAGACATAATATTAATTTGTGAAGTCACTGCACATTACTCTGAATTTATGTTAAAAAGTATAGATTTTTTTAAATTATAATAGTGATCAGCAATTGATCATTGTAGCACACTTTTATTCTTTGTCTGTTTCCCTTCAAGTCTTCCTTTTGTCCTATTATTAATTCCTCGTTTGCTGAATTGACCTTAGTTGTGATTGATTCCATTTGTTATGTTGGGTGATTGAAGATAAAAATTTAAATTATCGAGATTAATGTTTTGTTCTCTTCGGAGTGTCCTTTTGTTATGAGTTCCATTTCAAGTGAGATTGTTTTATGTGTATATACAATGGTCCCTCGCTATGTATTTAGTGTTGATGTTAAACTACAAAATAACTTGTTTCTAGTTCATACATTTGCTTTCATATCGACGTAACACTTGTCACTCTGGTCGATATTCATAATGAATTTATTAAAAAGAATTTGACCTAAATAATGTTATCCTTTTAACTTGGCACATCAGTTATATATTATGAATTGAGATGTACACGATATTCAGTGTATAATGTTTATTGAGCGAACAGCAAATTAACATTCGTTAATCTTTTTACTATCCGGTTGCTAATATTCTTGACTAACATTCGGTTCATACTCTTAAGGGATCGAACAAGGGGGCACAATTTAATAAGAGCGACCATCAGAAAGTTCCACATTAATCAGGGTTACTATCAAAATGACACATTAAATGGTTAATAACATTTTTATAATGTAAAACATGTTCGATTTACCTTTTGTTGTGCAAGACTTCCCTAAAGTGAAGAATGTGTTGTAGGATGGTCGCTCTTTTGAGTAGATACCTTGACGTTTGACCATTCTTTGTTGTCATATATCTATCTTGAAAAGGCATATGAAATCTAGGTGTATTCAGTTCTGTTGACAGAAATTACTATGTGTCCTTTTGTATACAAAACTTATAGATCCTTAATTATGGTGATAACTTCAGGCGGAACAAACGTACATACAATGTTTATACAATTTTCTTATCCCTGATCCACTTAGTTATATGATATGTTTAACTGGGTTCAATTTTGATTTAAACTGATTAAGGTAGTCTGCATACAACCCTCGAACCCGTCATTCTTCATGCTAGTTAACACTTGCTAGTAAGATATACGCACAATCTTCATGGAACTGTTGCTCTATGTTGGCTGCTTTAAACCATCTAACATTTAAACTTAGTGCAGATGATGCTGAGTCATATAAACTAGTGACCGTGTTAAAATTTGATTGATACTAAGGATTATACAAACCTGACATCAATTATTACCACCTAGTGTTTAAACAATCCAGATTATATTCGTCAGTAGTAGCAATTATGTGTTCATAGTTTATCTACATTTTCGTGTTACTTCATTGTATATTCCATGTGGAACTTCTTTTCACTTTATAGTTTTCCTCATGTTATGTGGAGTGGACGTGTTCTATTCACAATGTTAGATGTTGCTCAATTATTATCACAATCATTAGAAGTGGTAAGTTGCTTTCTTTCTTTCTCTGTACAGCACTTAGATAATTTCTTCACTCTAGTTTAAATTTGTATAGATACCTGTTTTTTTTGGAAGCAGTTTACTTAAGTGTTAATGACTTTTTCGTTAAACTCTACTATATACGAAAACCGCAATCGCACCTCTGTTATACACAAGTGACATTACACGAAAATCCTGTGTACCATTGTAGTCGGTTTAGTACTGTTCAGTATGTGTGTCGGCTAGGGTACTGCACGGGCGCCCAAACCGAAGCAGGTAGTTTCTTAGATGGTCACATCCAAAGGCTTAATCCACAGTGCAGTGGAGAAACATTAGCAGATGCATTCCCATGGTAGCCGGTGACCAACAATAAGTTGTCATGCTATTTTCTTCTCGAATCCTGGGGCCCATGTGCATCATTGGTTTAGAATCAAGCTTTTCCCATTTTTCTGGGTGGATGCTACCTACACACATTGAGTAATAACTATTTTGTATAGCTCATATGTATTTAGGCGAATTTTTTCATGATATCTTATGCATTCAAGTCGATTCTAGTTCTTGGTATTTATTTCATACTAATTAGTACTCGCTAAATCACATCTTGATGTCAACCGATATCTCCGTTGTGATTCAATCCTCTATATTGTTAATTTAATTATGACAATAATGGTGATGAATTCACTCATATGGACGCCATTTGAGATCCATTTTGCTTTCATTCTGACAACTAGGACTCCAGAAAAGGTGACGGGGCTTTTAAAAGTGTTAGATGGTTAAAGATGGCCAACAAAAAACCTTCAACTTAATTTTCGTAATAGTTGGGACTCCTCAACTTGGTGTAGTTATCATTTTGTGGGGAATGCTCCTGTCTTCCAACTGATTTTCAACACCTTGCATCAAAATTTAGTGAATGAAATTACTAGACACTTAATATATTTGATCAATAGAATTCAAGCAGCCCTAAGGTTTATACAAAAACGAGATGAGTTACTACTTTGCTATCAGTCAATGCAATTCTCAAAACCACTTTCATGTCTCAAGACAAGACAACGAAATAAATGAAAATCATAGTAAATGTAGTATGTTAAATGTCATTGCCATATATCAAATTGATGATGTTATAGAGAGTAATACTCATTCTATTCAGTACTGATCTCAACTGCTAACCACATTGCATTATTCATTTTGGGGATGCTAGATCCCCAAAAATCATTTGGTAAACGTTTTATTTTTGTAATTTTATTTTGGAAGTTTGTATTTCTTGTTTTCTCGCCAAGAGCGTCCATTGTATTTCCCACTTGGAAGGACGTTAAATGTTGTTATTAGTTGGTTGCGTCTTTTAATACACTATTCTGTGACGTTTTTTAACGGACCATTTTATGGTATATATATGCTTCAATTGCGTGCTTGGTTTTTTTTATGCTTCTGGCTGCCTGTGTAATATACCTTTCCTTCATCTGAACCTGGTCTCTTCCCTCTAATTAGCAGATCTGGGATGTATCGCAATGGTTTAACTTGTCTTGTCGTTATGTTACTGATCCTTCCTTCCGTTCACTGATTTTAGGTGGTCTCTTATTCTCTTCAAACATTACAATTCTCTGTATCCATACTTTTCATAGAATCATTTCAATCATATTAATTCAGTCTATAAGCAGTGAACAAAACAAGAAGTTTCATCATTCTAGTCAATGAGAACAATGAAGATTAGTAAATAGATCATTGTTTATTTCCTTTAGGTTTACATTATACTTTTTATAAATATGGTATGATTTCTTGATGATATTCATCAGTATTTGGATGTGTTTGTTTTCTAGTTATTGAATTCATAAAAAAATATTTCTATTAATATACTGTTGTATTTTGTTTGATTTCAGAAGTACTACTGAATAGTGTGTTTATATAATTGTATGTATGTGTTCGATGAAGTTAAAAAAGAACAAGAGATCTACAATCCAAAAGATTATTTTGACCTGAGCAATATGTTTGCATTCCTTTTTTTTCTTCTGTTTACTGTTTCGTAACAATAGCATGTGGTATTGACAAGTTAATGCTTATCATTAACTCTATGGTATCATTGATACTTATAGTGATTATTTTAACTCATTAATGTGAGCATAAACACTAGGATACAGATGTTCATCTAACTGACGAGTTTCATATTGAGATGAAGTACGTTTTTTTTCTTCTAAGCTTCATTTATAGTCATTATCTAAACTTCAGAAATACTTTGGAAATTATCCATTTAAAGTGATTGATCTCTGTATTCTCAGACTCAGAAAGAGTTTCTCTTTACTGACGATTTTTCCTAGTTTAAATACAAACACAAATTCTTGATAATATTTTCAGTGTACTAGTATAGAAGTGGTTGAGTTTCGTAATGAGGTCTTAGATAGGTATTGCACAACAGAAAATTGTTTGAAGTTGTTTCATTCTTTTGCTTGACTTTTCAACAATATACACCACTTCATTTTTGTATTGGTTGCTTGAATCTTCCCATTGATTTGTATGACTGCAATTGATCAATCTCTTGTTGGTATATGTGGACCTTGCCCTTAGTCACAAACATTCTAAGTAAAGATGGTGGCTGGTAGTGGAATCCAAGGCACGTTTCGTCTTATTTGGGACTCGTCAGCTGGATGTACGTACATCTCATAATTGATACTCACTCCGGGACTCGAACACAGTATCGTTCGCTTCAAACGCCATCGCTTTATCCACCTAGCTACCGAGTCTTGATAGGCACTAACTCGTAAAACGGGGTGACCTTTTATTCATTTTTGTATTGATTGTTTACACCTCATACACTACTTATTCGTATACTTTATCATCATTCGAAATCTCAAGATCTTCACATTTTATTGATTATTATTTTAACTTTTCCCAATTAATGATATTCGTCCACCTTTGAACTGTTTTTTTTCTTGTAAATCTTAAATATTTCATTCCAATATCTCTAGGATCCTAATCTGACTGCACCAGTTTATAATGTTCCTGGGACAAATTTCAAATTGTTTACTTCCGATAGTCTACCAGCTAGAGAGAAAATGTTAACTGATTTTGTTAAACGTTGTAAAGGAATTATTGAAGTTGGTTTACAATGGGCACCAAATTTAGTGCGTTCACATTTAATTAATTATATGCTAGAAATACAACATCCATCTACAGACTTACCACAACATACTGGTTTAGCATTGGCTACAGAATCTGTATTAAATTATGCCGGATATAATCGTTCAGCATCTTTCTTAGGGGTAAGTAAAGTCAGTCGACTTAGGGTTTTTTCTTCGTTTGGTAATCTGCGTTTCTGTGATTTGATCCTACTTTGAATTCATCGATCATACAACATGCAATCGGGTACATAGTTTTCTTATATTTCTGTGGTAATTAAAAACATATCTGCATAATTATTCTATTGATGGTTTCAATATAGTAACAGCAATCATCTAAGGATAGATGACATCTATTTACAAAGTTCATGTTTTTAGTAACCATATCAATGTAATTTACATGAAGTGTGATGAATGATTTTGAAGCCTTCTACTTACTAATGACACTACTTTAAAAGTTACTGTCATATGACCAAAAGCTGAGAAGGACTGAATCATAAATTATTTAATTACAACATCTATCTAAGACTATAAATTGATAGTTTGACAATAAAACATAAAACAACGAAATTGTTTAACTTCTCATGACTTCAAAAGGTAATTTGAACAATGAAAACAAAGAAGAGATCATTTATATCATCACATATAACGAAAAGATGCATGACTGTTGTACTCTAAATTTTGTAAAATCAAGTGTTTCTAACCTCAATTCGTATATTTATTAAATAGATTGTGAATATCAGTTAACTATAATGATAAGATGAAATAATGTCACTTCTATATCACATTTTACAGCACATAACAAATATTTACTTCTGAAACTTATGCCTCTGTCAATTACCTTGTGATCGAATCATCAATCAGAATATCGTCTTCTATAACCTTGTCCTGGTACTAAGCGCATTACTACGTCAAACAGCACTCACAACCTTGAGTCAACTCAGTCCTTATTGATCCTCCATGTAGTAGCTTCTCGCCTAGCCCAGACTGTTCAGTCCAAAACACAAATATCAGTCTGCACTATATGAATCGTATATTTCTGACGTATGTAGTTTGTATCCATCATATCACAAAATAAAAAAATAACAATTATACTTTTGTATGCTGGTTCAGTTGTCTAGAGATTATGCGTTCGCTCACCAAATCGAAGGTCTTGAGTTCGAGTTGTGCATGTAGGATCATGGGTGCGAACTGTTGAGTAGTTCCATGCTAGGGCTAAACGGCTATCTCGTGCTTTCAGGTTTTCAATAGTATTCTAGCTCAGATTGACTTGTGAATTCGATTACAATCTCCACAAATCATACGAGATCAAGCAAAAGATGGTTGTGAGTTTAGGAGACAGTAAAAGAACAATAGTTAATGGGTCAAATGAAAACTTATGATAAGGTGAATATAAATTTGTATATAATCTGGTTACTTAGTGATCATATAATGCTATTAATAGTAGTCTGTAAATAATTTCTGGAAGTTACCAATAATCTAATCTACTTCGAATACAACACTTGATTTAATTGAAGTCTATATTTTAATTGTTTTAATTATTCCTAGACAAGTGCACTTGATAAACGTCCAACTTGTGCAAAAATGGATTCATCAAATTTTATGTATAATTTAATCTTACGTAATCGTTATTTGGGTGAAGTAAGCAATGTCTATCTTAGTTTTTTTTTTCTCTTTTGGCAATCTATCTATCGTGTGTAATTGTTTTTAAACAATGAAATATTTACACATACATCTTAGTGATGACCTTAATCTCTTTGCTATTCATTAATTTATATTTCTCATTCAATCTGTGTGTATACACCGATTGCATGAATTATCTAACGGCTACCATAATGACCTAACATACTGATTACTTGATTAAACCTATCGATTGATAGTTAAACAATCAATTAGTCATCCACAACTTAGGAGCAGGTACTTATACGCATCGATTCACGTTGCCATACCTCATTAGCACACAAAAATGAACACCAAGTTCATATAGATTACCGTCTCAGTCGATGAAGATTTACAACCTCATCAAGTGCTTTACCATCATTCCCTTTGCGTCTAACCTCACTTTTACTTACCCGGTGATCCCAGCAGATACGATTGATGGTTAAGTACTCTGCAAGTCATTCATGAGCAATAAGAAATTGTGCACTTATAGACATCATCAACATAATGAGTTGCCTGATTAGCATTATTAGCAACAGTATTAGTGTTCGCAGAAAAGCCTAGACATGAAAGATATGGTTCTAAAAGAAATAATTATTCTTGTAGAAAAACTAATAGTTTTCTAAGACCCAAGGCCTAAAAGAAGATAAAGAGTGAATACATCTGTGTGATTATAACCATTTCTGAACCATTCTACTTAACGTCTCGAATTATTAGTCCCGATAATCATACAGACCTCAACTACTTATTTTACATCTATCGATATAGCCGTAGTTCAGCAGTCTATTTCATCATAGGCAAATGCTATGTTTTTATTTAAACACTCTTTAGTTTCTTTTTCCAACCCACTCCTACACCAGATAACATCGATAACAACATGCGCATTACTAGGTTCAAAATTTAATTCTGTTACATAGGCTGCGATTTTCATATTTTGCCGGTGGTACATATCTTTACAACAGGAGGTAGTTATAATGGAATCGTGAGCCTAAATTTCATGCTTGTCTTCACTCGTTAGCAGGATCTATTTGAAATTTCGATACTGAATAATGCAATTTCGAAACCCACAGGAAGTATCAGTTTCTTTTTAGATACCAAAAACATCTGGTTCATTAGTCTTCAACTAGTATGCTGACTGCCTTCAACAACTTAACGTCAAATATGTCGCAGTTGAGTTGTACAATCATTTAAACTAGTAACCGAACTGTAACGTAATTCATAGAATGTTACCAACAAAAAGCATCATATAAACATAATATTGAGTATTACTTAATGCTAAAATAAATCCACTTCATTTCATAAATTCTAAGTATTTTTATCGTATAAAAATCTGTTTATATAGAATAGATGGAAACCTAGCAAGCACTGGGATCTAGGATACACGTCTCATCCTATTTTAGATTATATTAATGAATAAAAATCTTTCATTGTTTATGTAGTTCACAGTTCACATCTCTACAAAAATCAATCTTGATTATGTACATCAGTCAAGTACCTTTAAACTACATATAAATGTGTAAAACAGAATAGTCTCAATGTATTGTCATTTTTTGCAGAGAATAAAGTCTATTTATTCGAATTGTTCTTGCCAGTGTAATGTTTTCTTTGGGTTTAGGCACCCGGTCAGTATCCTAGATCTCATACAAATCGATTGATTTATGTGGCACATATCTATTTTGTACCTCCTTGTACCAATGCTTATATGTTTTTAAATAAATAAATCTATCGCTCGATTTCGTGGATTGGTTGAAGTTAGACATTAACACCGTTGAATACCGGCTCAGTGATCTAGTGGATAAGCGCTTGAGTGTGAGACTGATAGGTCCTGGGCTCGAATCTCGCGAGGCGGGATCATGGATGCGCACTACTAAGGAGTCCCACAATAGGACGAAACGACTGTCCAATGCTCCCAGGTTTTCGATGTTGGTCTAGCTTCAATTGACTCATGATCTCAACTATTGAAATAAATAAACTTTAATCACTATGTGTATAATATAACTTTCTATGTATGTATGTATATAGGCATCAGGAATGTTACGTTATTCTGATGATCCAATGAAACTGGTGAATAAAATGAGTAAAGATTTAGAAATTGCATGTCATAATGGTAAGAAAACAAACAAACAAATTTATTATTTATGCAAAAAAATATAATACTTAATTCAAAGGTATCTTTTTCATTTCTTATCTATAGTAACAGTATGCAAATTTGTAATCAACTTATGATTGCTGTCATAATATTTTGTAATTAGCATTATCTAGCATAACAAGATATTTAATTAAACTTTTAATATACTTTAGACATGTCCGTTTACAATGTAACAAACTTTAAGTAGTACTATAAAGTTGTATTATTTAGTTTGTCGGTATATGTTTCAGTGGGGAATTGTTCTTTCCCTAAATGCCCTTGTACGGCCGAGAGTAGGAGGAGTTAGCTCTACCTTTCGAAATGCTCTCACATGACCATATGTATACAGCCACTTCCAGGCAAGTCCTACTCACTGCCTTCTCGCGACAGGTGTGTGTTGTTAACGAAATTGAAAGGACGGAAAGCGAATGTTCGTTGCTTTAGCTGGGCAGGTGGGTATGGAGGATCTAACTACAAGAGGTGTAAAACCCTGATTCCAAACCAATGGGACCTAGGATCCTGGGGGAATAAATGGTGTATCAACCTATTATCGATCACCGGCTACCAAGTGACTGCATCTCTTAACGTTGATCCACTGGCTTGTGGATTAGACCATTAAGTGAAAGTCTCGTGAAGTAGCACCTTGAGAAAACCAGCCGTTCCAGTTTAGACATGCGGACAGTATTTCAGCCCTCATACAGACAGAATGTAAAAGTGTGGCCCGCATATATATGGTGCCTCCTTGTACCAATGTTTATGTGTTTAAATAAATAAACCACCGAACCATCCTGAGCTCGAGTTCTGAGCGCAGGATCATGGATACGCACTTCTGAGGAGTCCCATACTTTGACGAAACGCCCATCCAGTGCTAAAATCGACTGATTAATTCAACTATTAAATTACTACAGTCTCTACAAATCTTCATTCTGATAATTATATTTATATTGGTTTAGAGGGCTTTTGGAAATCGCTAACCTTTTATTTTGCCTCACGAACTAATTGCACTTACATAACCATCGGTAATAAAGAAGCGATTGGCAATCGTTTCGTCTCAGTGTTAAACTTCTCAGTGATGTGCACTAATAACTGCCGTAATGTTCGAGCTCAGGAACTTCTTGGCCTCTTTGTAAAAGCTTAACTTTAAGATCCCCGAGTTTACATTCAGTGATGTTAATTTCTGATTTCAATCGATTCACGATACTTTGCAACCAATATTCAACATTATACGTAGGTAACTGCTTCATTTTCAATATGATTGAACTCTCCTGTTACAGCTTATTACTATGACTTTTGGAACAAGTACGTCTCGGAATTTATTATCAATAAACCCTTGATTATATTAGTAGTTTAAATCACCGGCTGACTTTCGTTAGACGGCCATTACGAAACTTGATTGATCTAATTCTATCAGCACTAAAAAGGACCCGACATTCATGACATTGATCCACTAATATCCAGTGACCAATCAATTGTAAAAATAGAAAACATTGACCAGCTGTTTCATCTCAGTTTGACAGTTGTCATCCACAGTACGCATCTACCTTAATCCAATCGGTTCATCTAAATTGAACAATCAATTTAACTAATAAATTAACGATGTTCAGTATCGTAATAAAGCTTATTATAACAGTCTCCTGTCTAATAACTGTTCTTGACCTCTATGTGGAAATTTTCCTCTCTCTCTCCGTTTATTCAAATTTTCAACATCTATTGTTGTTTGCCTTTTTGACAGCTTCACGTCTGTCTAAAACGCTTACTAATCTAGAAGAATCACAGCCAAAGTCAAAACAACAACAGTTATTGAAATCATCTTTGAGTAGTAGTAATAATAATACAAGTAATAATCAATTAGTCAATGAAACCACTGAACAGATTAAACGATTACAAAATCAAAAATCCATTGCATTGGATGTTGTACAAGCATGTTTATTTCGTATGACAGCTTTATTAGTGATGCATAAATCACAAAACCATGATCCTATGATGAATAAAACTAATTTAACTGGACAAGATCTTATTGTTGGTGATGCTGATGATAACAATGATGAGGAGGAGGAAGAATGTCAAGAGGAGGAAGATAACGATGAATATGACGGTGACTCTGACGATGACGATGACAGTGATGATAATGATGATGATGACGACTTAGATGGTGATGAAGATAATGAAGATGAGGATAGATCATCTGAACGACAGAAACGCCATTATCCCCATCGTCGTAAATTTCATCATCATCTTCAATATGGTGGGTCAGTTATGAAACGACTATTGCTTAAACCAAAACGATCAGTTTCTCGATTGAATAATCCCAACACTACAAACTTTCCCGTTCCTCCAGTGACAACAACAACAATGACAGTATCAACAACCGGTAATCCTAATTCTTCATGTCATTTAATCAATGATACAAAAAATCCTACAACTATTGATATCACAAGTACAACAATAACATCATCAAGAAAAAAATTGTATGTTATGAAAGGTGATACAGCAAGGCGTTTATTACAAGAAATATGTCATTCACCATTAAGATTATTTACTACAGAAATGTTAGAAAATGCTTTAGCATGTTGGCAATGGTTAATTGTTGGTAGACCGGAGTTAACTATTCAGGTAAGAATAAATGAAACTATCTTTTTTCTTATTTTTAAAGAGTTTTCTCAATATCCAAATGAAATGTGAACAAATCCCATCCATTAGTTTATAATACAATAACTTCAATAGTTGAAATCATGAGTCAACTGAAGCTAGACCACCATGGAAAATCTGGAAGCACTGGACGGCCCTTTCGTCATAGTATGGGACTCCTCAGCAGTGCGTATCCATGATCCCCCCACAAAAACCCCTCCTGATAATATAATAACTGTTATATTCAAAAACATTTTATTTATTTGTGAATCTTCATTTACTGTATTTCTCGCCATTGCCCACCTTGACTTGCAATACTCGTATAGTAACAATATTTACGATAATGTCATTCAACGCCGCTAGGTCAAACATGAACATGGCATTAGTTCATGAAATAATTGGTTGTCGAATGATGTAGTTTTCTTGATCATGATCCATGTCAGTTAATTTTAATTTCAGGCTGGTGATTGTCGGTAACATGGTTTCGTCTTCTAAATTTCAAGTTTTAACAATTTTAAGAGGAAGTTAGTTGTGGCCCTAATAGTTCACTGGTAAAATCTCTGACCGCGAAACTGATTAACACGTGATTTAATCCGCCAGAGAAAATGTATCCCCTCAATATTACAGGTACATCTTGCAGACGAGTGTCAAATAGCATGGAATCTATGCCATGAGTTTCCTATCCACCACCTCCAACCACCACCTTACATGTCAACATAGTACATGCTATGTCAAGTTATTCAAACTAGTGACCACTTTATAGGTTGATAGAGTTTCATCAGAACTAAGGAGGACTTGAAATAAGTGACATTGTACACACAACTAATCATTGATCAACCGATTGTAGGTTATCAAATTATTTTAAACTATTCATTCTTTTACGGTTTTATTTTAATGCCATAATCGATGATACTGTTAGTTCAATTCTGTTATATCTTGAATGTTGATTTCTCGATATACCGCGTATAACAGAACGCTAGAACACCAAAACCCTTCCAAGTCACAATAAGAAAACAGAAGACTAATGAGAGGAATATTATTCCAAACAGTGTCAATCATAGTACAAAATTGTCAGGTATTTATAGTTTTTAGTAAGAACGAAATCATCATTACAGTCCTCCAATCCACATACAGGAGGCTATTAGCATTGTCCAATCAGGAAGCTACACGTAAGAATTCTAGAATATTCTTCCGAATGATGATTGGATGGAACATCTTCGGCTCCTTCTGAGCCTCTTACAGCTTCCTCGAGTTCACCCGTGTTCCGTCGTCACAAATTCACTTTTGTTCCATTGGTTTTCTGTGGTTATGCAAATATGAATTATGATTACTTGAATTCTCTCAAGATTTCTTATCAAATTTTGCATTGTTCATTATTGTATAACATTGTAAATCTCTTTTTATCTACTATAAGACGTTACTCATTTCAATGTTATCGCAAAAATATACTTTTAACTGTTTTGGGAAGTTTATTTTATCTCATCCTATTGGGTGAGCAACAGTGTACATCTAAACACTTCAACAATTGCTAGTAGTATTGATATATTTTCTGTACTTCCGTCGTTTACTCGATATACGAGGGAGGGGAGTCATCAAATTGAAAACTTCAACAATTATGTTGGATGTTGACAACTAGTTTAATGGTTTTTTGCGTGTGTCTATTGAAGTTCATTGATTCTATCTTAGTAAGTCTAGTTTAGTTATCGTGCCAGTCAAAAGCATTGTACTTAAACTTCTAACTTCTTAGAGGATACCAGATGATGTACAATGTTACTTAGCTTTTCATTTTATGTCATACTAGATCACAAGAAGTCGCTTCATGGTATTTTGATACACACATGTTGGTAGTTGTATCTTCAATATGGCTTCTACGGCCAATGTTACTAGTATTGAAGAGAAGAATGTGTTACATCCTATCACTTTTACGCATTTTTAATGTTATAATAGGTATTTCTGTCGGGTGTCCAAAAATATCACTCGGGAATGTCTCTCGAAGCCTAAAAGGGGTTGAGAACATTTTACCCAATCAACATTGAACTGAAGCCTTTTAGAAAGACATCTAGAGAAATGAAGGATTAGGTGTCGCGTTTCAGTCGAATAACTACTTATTGTGTCACAATATTTACTGTTTCCTGAATTTTTTCGAAAGTCGAGGTTATATGAAAGCGGACATATACATACTGGTTTTTATAAATACCAATTAACCTAATAGGCTCCACTCAAGTTATTCACCTTTCCTCTACTGTTAGGTTTTATATGTAGGAGCAGTCTGGGACCATAGGAAACGGCTTAAAAGACAGTAATAAGCGTTAAAAACTCGTCAATATCATGTATGACTCCTGTAACCAGTAAATGTACCATGTTACATCAGATCAATTTTATTTTGCAATGACTTCTCCTGTTCAATGTTTTCAATTTATTCTTGGTTTCTATTTTCATATTATTGTTGTGATGCAGCTTTTGAACGAATTGAGTGATGCTTGGCAAATAACCATTCATCGACGTCTTGGAGTATTCTCTGTACATAATGCCGATGATGGCGAAGTTTTACCATTAATTGTATCAGATCAAATAAAGTATAGCCCACCAAAATGTAACACTGGTCCCCATCAGTTATGGTCACAGGTAATTGCACGTGTGTATATATGTGTGTACAGCGACAGAAGTTTTTCATATTACTTGTTATGTGATAACCTTTACGCATATATAAGTGTATACACATCATTAATATTGATCGGCTTGTTGATAAGTTTTGTTATTTTAACTCTTTCTCTATACGATATCCTTCAGTCCCATGGGTGATGTTGCGTGTAAATCCATTCGTCATCACTTAATCCTTATTTCCAACTTGATTAACTCAACAGTTCACGAATTCTTGTCGAAAACATTCAGAAATCCATTTGATTTACAACGTCGACTATTATTATTATTATTATTCATAGTGATGAGCAAAAGTTTCCAAAATGTGTCCACCTCCTCTCGACCCTCTGTTACATTAATATCCTATGTTTCAATCGGCAAAATTTGTGATATAACTGGATTGTTTAAAATGTTTTTCTCTCCCACAAGTATATTCCTATATGACGTCAGTCACGTTATTACCAGATCCAAGATTCACGAGACAAAATAGAGAACCAGAGTATAGACTAGATAATACTTTATTCAACACAATTACAACCAGTTATACTCAGTGAGTCCGGAGTAGGAAGACTCACATATTTAATAGTCCATAGGTCAAGTATCTTATCTTTCTAGACAACATGACGTTAGTATGCACTTCAAAAGTATTAGATTTCATAGAATTTCTCCAAAATTAAATGATAACTTGTTGTGTTCACTTGTGATCTATCCGTTATGACTTTCGCCTCTGTCAATTATCATGTGAAAAAACTGACAATCAGAATATCGACTTTTACGACCTCATTCTTGTGTTGAACCAACGGTATGTCAAACAGCACTAGCCGCCTTAAATCAACTGTGATTTCTTATTGTTCTTCGGTGTATTATCTTATTGCTTAGCCCACCCGTGTCAGTCCAGAATTCTGTCCCGATCCCCATTGTATGAATCATGTATGTCAGACATAAACAGTTTATGTACAAGCAAATCAGGCCACATCATGCCGTAACATAGAAAATAACATTTATAAAAGATCAAGTCGAGAAATGGATGGGATTATAAGAGACTATAACTATTAGATTGGGAATAAGTTAAGAATAGTAAATCGTATAATAGTAGTCAAATGAAAGCGTATAATAAAGAGGATATGAATACACATACAATATAGTTACTCAATGGTTATACAGTAACAATACACGTATAATGTTAGTCCATAAATAGATCCTAGCGGTTACTATTCATTGGTTCTTCGTTCAGATGTAACACTATATGAACGTTGTTCACAATTTTTAGGATTGTTGTTGACATGTTTGTTTTGATTGTGTTTTACTCTTGACCTGATCTTTGATTATACAGTTGCTTATCCTTTTTAAATGTTTACTTAATTGATGCTTATTTAAAATATTAGGCTTTTTAAAAATTCTTTAACTTTCCTTACGTTCTGTCCTATTCAATATTTGAATATTTTATCAGTCGAACTCTTGTTCCATAACTGCTCCATATGCATTAGTATAAACAAGACTGTATCATGTGGTTTAACAGGTAGCTATTGATCGCATAGATATAAGCAAAGCGGAAGGCTTTTTTTCTTCTATGTAGTGTTTTTCATAATTACCATTGTTTATTTTGTAGATTCCCTGGTACTACTAAAGTTGGGAAGAGTACACTCTTCCTCTCGAAATGCTCTCACATGGTCACACATATACCAAATCAAGAGAACGAAGAGCGAATATCCGACGCTTTGACCGGGTTAGTAGATATGGAGGATCCAACTACAAGAGTTGGAGAATCCAGATTTCAGACCAGTGGTCCACGTGCCCTCCAATATCTTGAGGGAACAAATGGCGTATGAACCTACTGTTGGTCACCGACTACCATGTGACTGCATCTCGTAGCGTTATTCCATTGCCTTGTAAATTAAACCTTTAGGTGTAAAGCTCATACAGTGACCCTCTGAGAAAACCATCCGCTTCGGTTTGAGCGCCTGGGAACTATATTTGGTGGATAATGTATTTTTATCCAAAAATATCAAATTTTATAAGCATTCAACGTTGTAATTTAATTTAGATTCATGTAATGGATCCACACAAAAATGTCACTTAACTGTATGTTTTTTCTTTTCTTTTCTCTATTTACAATCAAGTTTTTCAGTGAACGTCTATATGTTGCACAATCATCAAGTCAAGAACAGTTAGATATATTTTTTGATTTATTACAAAAAACTCTAGCAGGAGAAATTGCTTCATTAAATAAAAGTATACATACAGTACAAAATTCTTCGGAAACTTCAAAAAACTCACAAAAACCTCATTCTCGTCGTCATGATCATCCATCTTCAATTATAAGAGGACGTTTAACTAATAATGTAGCTGCATTAGGTGTACGTTGTCGTCTAGTTGAAATGTGTCTTAGTTTATTACAAAATACTGGATTTAAATCAAATTATTCTGGAGGTCAAGGAATATCAACTGATGAATTATCTAGTCATGTTGGTGGTGTAATGACAGCTGCGACAATAACAACAGGAACTGGTGGTGGAGTAGGTAGCAGTGGTGGAAGTGTTGTTAGTGCTGGAGGAAGAACTGGTGGAAGTAGTGGAAGTCAAGGTCAAATAGATACAGGATGTTTATTTCCTTTAGCTAGAATCGCTCTTCGAGAGAAAGCTTATGCAACTATATTGAATTATTTCACGTAAGATTATCAATCATCTGGTTTGTAACATACAGTTATTTATTTAGCCTTTTAAATTCTCATCAATATTATGGAAGTGAATATGCCATTGACTTGAACGGTATATAGATTCTTTTGGTTGGTAGATATTACTAAGGTTTTTAAATTCTCTACTCACTCAAAATCGCTAGCGTAATGCAAGCATCTGTAACACTGTAAACACTTGAACCATTAAATCATATTGAGTGAATATGTTTCTTTTGCACACTGTCCAAGTTTGAATCTTCCAATCACTACTGAACCTTCATGAAATACACTCCACATAGTAGGTACTGTATGCCATTTTTGGGCTATTGTAGCTCTTCATTTATTTCACACAAGTTGGTTGATGATGATTACACGATAATTAACTTTCAAGTCACTATGTTAACTCGAAATATGAAACACGATGAAGGTTTTCATATTCTCTTAACCTATCTCTTACTTACTTACGCCTGTTACCCCTCGTGAAGGAGCATAGGCCTCCCATTCTCCACCCAACTCTGTCCTGAACAGTCTAATTGTTTCCTTTTTATGTTTGCTCCCAGTTCTCGGTGCAGTGTTCTTTCGTCTTCCTCTTTTTCGTTTCCCTTTAGGATTCTAAGTTAAAGCTTGCTTCGTGATGCGGTTTGACGATTTCCGTATCGTATGTCCTATCCACCTCCAACGTCTTTTTCTAATTTCCTCATCAATTGGAAGCTGGTTTGTTCTCTCTCACACTAGGTTGTTGCTGGTGGTATCTGATCAATGGACATTGAGTATCTTGCGTATACATTTATTCATAAATACTTATACCTTTTCGATGATGATTGTGGTAGTTCTCAATATTTCACATCCGTATAGCAGAGCTGTTATCACGTTCGTATTAAGGATTCTCACTTTGATATTTGTTGATAGTTGTTTTGAGTTCCATATGTTCTTCAACTGTAGGAATGTTGTCCTTACTTTGACATTCCTCGCCTTTACGTCTGCTTCAACTATTCTCACTGATCAGAAATATAATCAGTTGGACGATTAAAACTCTACTCCATAAAAGCATTTAGATCATTGTCTTTAGGTTTTTATGAATATATTATTTTAATAAGAAATCTCGATTGTTTAATATCTTTTCTTTCTACAGAGTAAAACCACAATATCCCATCAAACATGATGCCGATTTATCTGATGAATTGAAGGCATTAAGTCGACTATGGAGTTTGATGCAAGCTGAACGTAAATATTTAAATACTAGTATGATTGAAACAGAAATGGATGCGTTGTTAGAGGCTGTTGGTCGTGGTGGTTTCATAGTTGGTAGTGATTTTGACTATGGAGCTGTTTATCTTTCGGATCAGATGACAGTTAATACACCAGAATCTATCGCTGTCGGTGGTGGCGTTGTTGGTGCTTCGATTGGTTCGTCAGGTTTTCCTACGAATCCTATGTCAACTGTAACAACAACGTATCACACTACAAGTTCTTCACCAAATATACGACATGTGAATTCAAATGTATTTACTGAATCATGGATTACTTCCAATGTAACAACAATGACAACTACTAGTATTACCAGTGGTGGAGCTACACTTCCAAGACTGCGTTCACAGGTTATGCTGTTAACGGATCAACCATTAGAACGTCCTGGTGTTGGCTCACTTATTCTACCGTCAGCTTTGAATTCTACAACTTCACCAACATTACAAAATGCGGCTGTTCTAGCTGGAACTAATATTGCTCATTCGGTTGTCTCAAAACGGTCCTCAGCTACTGGAGGTAAGTCGTATAGAAATGAATGAAGGGAAGTGTTCATAAGGCATTGATGTATATTTAATTCCGATAATTTCCTTTTTGTCCACGTATATCCTTTGAAAGAACCAGGATATGTTTGTGACAAAGTTGACTTAGTTCTTTAACTTAATGATTTATTTCATTATCAGAGTTTTGTAGTAGGTAATACTGTTTTTTAACGTGTAATTCAGCTTTATGCTATTTAACCGTTAAGTCGCTAATCCATAATATCATACGATGCCTACATTTGTTCAAATAATCGATTAAATGGTCGTCAAAAATGTTTATACTCTTCATCCATCTTGATTGATAGAATCCAATCACTATTTAAAGGTACATGACATTCATCATTAGTTAGTGATCGATCGATCGTACATATCACAGTTCTAAAGTGGGATAATGCTTATTTCGGCTCCTGTATCGACTAAGAAGTCTGAACCAGAAATGTGATCCCTGATATGGAAAAGACGGATTGTCATGGGGCCAGAAATAGTCGCCGCCATCACTGCCTGGTATGCCCGTTTCCCTGAGTCTCGTGGTTGTTTGTTGAGGATGTGCACGGTTGTGCGGAGCGCCGTGCATTTGCACCATATTTTTAATGATACCAACAAACTCCGGTGGTCCGCTTAGGTGACTTAGGAAGCTGTCTGGAAAACGATCTCTTCTAGACGAGGATCTGGTTGGTCTGGAGTGGATCGTGGCAATGGTGGCCTGTAATGATGCCAGTTGGTTTGTTAGCTCTGCTAACTGCTGTTGAAAGTTGGATATACTGCCTTTATCCTCTTTACCGGTACTTAGTACTGAGTTAACACCGTGACTATCTGGGTAAATTTACATCATCTTGTCCGCCATATCTGCTAAATCATCTAGATTAACACTGAGAATTTTTCTCACATTACGTGGTAGACGTTGAAATCACATTTGTTTTAGCAGGGTTTCGTCTAGCTTATATGGACGGACGTGCTAGCTGTTTCATATGTCTTAACAGCTGTGATGATCTTTTGTCTCCCAATTCACATGACGTTAACAGTTGTTGTAATCTTTTTTCATCTGAGACTATGGTGCGCTGAATAACCGCAGCCTTTATTTTTTCGTAAGGATCATTCTCAGGTACTTGGTCAATTAAGTCCCTCACCTCGGCTGCAATTTCTATGGGAAGTGCCCCAACTAAATAAGCGTACTTTGTTGCTTGGGAAAGTATTTCTCTGGCTATGAATAATGCCTCTACTCTGGCGAACCAGATTCTAGGTTTGTTGGCTCCATAAACTGGCAGTCTAGATTCCGAAATAGAATTAACTGAATTTACAATAGTGTCAGCCGAATTCGGTAAACAAGTGAGGGCATCTACTGAGGGACTGTCTATGTCGTTAAGTGTATGTGGAAAAAAAGCCAATGTGTAAGGTTAAAAAATAATTAAGCAATATAGCAATCAGAATAAACTCGAGGCTCACCAGATAATTGTGGTGGACCAAACAATATATGCACTCATAAATAGTAATAAAGTTATTACGTAGAAACAGTAATGTTATAATATACGTCATATGTTATGAACACAATAAAAAATTTATGTACGTTACTTAAATCAGCTAGCTTATGCGTGTTCAGATTGCATTTCATACCAGAATCCACAATTATAGATGATTAATGATTACAATAAGATTGTTGTACTTTCAGTGATATAGTCAAACGGAGCATATAACGTAAATGTGGCTTCAGTCTATAAGTGTCGACAGTAGATGATTTACAGTTCAGTTATCACAACCCCGAGCTATAGAGAACGAGAGGTGTGTGTATAGTAGTGTATTTGCTAGCAGTTAACAGCGTGTGTCATGCTATATGTATAACACAACGGAAGAAAGTGTGTTCAGAGTCATGCACTCAAACAACATGTACAATCATTTTACAGTAAATATATAAACTGTAGAATTAACACAATAAATACAAATAACATCAAGAACTATTTACAAAATAAGTTTATCATGCCTATCTCCACAAACGTCATTATTTTGAAATCTAATATAATCTAGGTGTTCATTGCTTCCTTTTCATGTCTGAACTATTACTGATATTTCATAAGCTATCTTGAATTAGCTAAAAGAACGTCTTATTGAAAAACCATCTTGTCTGTCTGGAACCCTCACTTTTTACTTCACTTTTTTAGGTACATAAAACTGTACCTACTTGTTAGTAGTATAAAATATTTTGTACAATATTTCGCTTTTAATTAGGTAAACAAAGTGCCAGAACCAATGGAGAGAATTATTTGAAGCAAATATTTTTACAGAAACGTGAATTGATTTTAATCCTATTGGTATGTCATTAATATCGTTGTTCTAACTTTTGAAGATCACTTTAAACATAAATTTACAATGTTATTCACCGTTGGATGCCGGCTCCGTGGTCTTGAGGTTAAGTGTTCGCACGTGATACCGAACGTCCTGGATTCGAGTTGTTCGTGCAGGATTGTGAATGCACACTGATGAGGAGTCCCATACTGAGATGAAACGGTCGTCCAGTGCTTCAAGGTTTATAATGGTGGCCTAGCTTAGATCAACTCATGAATTCAACTGTTAAATTTCACGAGTGTTGATGATGCTTTTCGAATAAGTGGCTGGTGTGAAAATTTTGTGTTCTGTAACCATATATTATTGCCTATGAGTAACTCAGTTGCATTTATATTCTGGTGCTACACTAATTAATGGGAAATTGACTGTTTCTTTATTGGTTTAAAGAAGTTTTATTTGTTCGACCATACTGTTCCCGTCAAAGAACGTGATTTTTGAAATACCTTTTGATCGTCAAAAAGTACTTCCTAATATTCAGCGTATCTATTTATTTCTCAAGAAATTATTATCCCACTCAAACTGATGGTATAGCAACAAAGGTCTCAAGTTCAGTACCTGGTGAAGGGGTTGTAAATGTTCACTATCGAGGAGTCCCATACTAGTACGTAACGACCTTCCAATGCTTCCAGTTTCTCAATGCTATTCTGGTTAGGATCTGTTCATGATCTCAATGAAATTAAAAAAACTCCATGGTCTTCATACTGATAGGTTTTTTCATTGTATTGCTTAAGTTGATAACACTATAATTCGTAGTATTAGGTAGCAGTTTAATTCTCTATGAAAAATTGTAAACCGATTATATTTAATAGTCCTTATATATCCGAATATAATGTTTTACTGATCAAATTTAAAATCAGGGGACATAGAAAAATGTATTTCTCATCGAAACCTGTGGGTGTACATAACATCCAGCCTTTAAATGTAGAAGTACTCTACTTAATCCCTTTCAAGTGTAATCAATTTCTCTTAACAATCAAAGCGTGAAATCAAACAGTTTATGCCAAGAATCGAAAAAGATTGGGTAACTTTTTTTTCGTATTTCACTCTAACAAATATATCAGATTTTTATTTCTCATCTTAGATTATTCTTTTCTTTCTTGGTAATAATATTTGATAGGCTTCAGAAATTGAACGACTTTCAGTATGGTTTAATCCACAAGGTTTATCTGATCGTATTGGAATTAGAGAAGCTGAAGTTGAAACTTGGCTTCGTGAAACATTACGTAAAAAATCCTGGCGTAGATGGATATCATTAGCATGGGATTTATGTCCACCAGTAGCTGTCTACATGCCACAAAGGTAAGTACATTAAATTATACCATTATATATCAAATTGATGAATGTCATGATTAGTTGCTCTGGAACTTACCACTTTCAGTCATTGGAATTGTTTTCAACAGCGAAATTCGTCGGCTATTACTACTGTGAATAAATTACTGCATCAATGTTTTTCCACAGTTTGTCGAGCGGATTCCTATGTATTAGGTAGCAATCACCAGTTATATTTTCACTATGAATAATAACTGTTTGTAAAGCCTACAATATGGTTTTTTTGCTTACTTCGATTTTGTCAATTAAGTGTATTTGCATACCAGGGTGTTAATATACAGAAGGTAACTTGAGTTCTGTACCCCATCCCTAGTCATTTTAAAAGTCCTTAAGTTATCGTTTATGTAAAAGAATTCTTGTAATCATACCCAAAATTTATTTGACGGTTAACCACTAATGCGAAGTTCATTTAATATCAAATAATCGATTCAAGCTTTCAACATTTAAAGTCAATCCCCGTCATATTCCAAATTTTATATTTTGTTATGAGGAGTACATCTGAGTCATACTGGCGGCGGGGATGTTGTTTACGGAATTGAGAGGTAGAAAAGCGAATATCCACACCAATGTTGTGCTCTCGGTCCTGAGGGAACAAAAGGAGTATGAATTTATTCTTGGTTACCAGCTACTTTGGGTCCGCATCTCCTAAAGTTGCTTCACTACTTTATGTATTAAACCTGTAGGTGAAAGGCTTATAGAATGGCTCCCTAATAAAACCACGTGCTTCGTTTTGGGCCTCCAGGCAGTGTTCTGAGCCTCACACAAATCGAATGACGAAGTGTGATGCCTTCATGTTTGTGTTTTTAAATAAATAAATACACAATCATTCCAGAGATGAGTGATTTTTTTTATCAAAGAACGTTTTTTTTTCTTGGTATACCTAATAGTAAACTGCAAGTATCTCATTGAATAGAAACCTAATGACATCGTCCACCTGTTTATGATTAGACGGAGAATGTTCACGGAGTAATGAAGCGAAGAATGCGGTTCAAAGTTGTTATCTCTCCCCGATCTTATTCTCAGCACTGTACAGTCATGTCCATATATACTTATATACAAATTAAATCGGTAAAAATAGATCTTCTCACTGGACCACATAGTTTTATTTTGCATTAATTTCTTTGTTCGAAAACATTTTAAATAACAATGTAGATTATTTGTATATTTTTTTTATTCTGCACATATTTTTTTCGGATAGATTTACTGGTTCAGATGAACTACGTCGTGAAGTGTCATTATTTGTAACAGCCAATCCATTGCTTGTAACTCATATCCCAGCTGCTTTACAATATTTAGCTACTTCAAGTAATATTGAAGACGGACGTCCTGAAGTTAGTAGGGCTTTTTTTGTTCTTTATGTTTTTTTTTAAACTATTCATAAATAAATAAGTAGTATTTAACGTTCGTGCATGTTTTTCTGCATCTTCTGTTGCACATGTCAGTATAATGAATCGTAACAATGATTATATTCATTGTTTGACGAAGAAATATCTTGTTCCATTCCTAAATAGATATTTTTTGTTACGATTTACACAGGCATTATTCTTCTGAAAGTTAACTTTTTCAATGCATACACCTTCCGATAAATTTGATAATGATGAATTCTATTCTAACTAGTGGTTGTTAACAAAGTAACTGATTTTATTCTTCTACATGGTTCTTCTTTTGACTAAGATTACTTCACCCTACACTTCCGTATCAACTGACAAGTAAACTTATTCATTCTACAATGAAATACACCCTTAACTTTGTGTAGTTAAATACAGTCAAGTGATTTATATTCTACCGTTTTAAAGTGAGTGTCTTGATTGATTCTTTTGTCCACAATTTTTTCTTCGATAAAAAACAGTTATCCCATATACTAACATGGTCACCTGTTGCACCGGTCGTTGCTTTATCATTCTTTTCACGTATGTATCCTCAACATCCATTAACACATCAATATGCTGTACGTGTATTATCTGATTATCCATCGGAAACAATGTTATTCTATGTTCCACAATTTGTTCAAGGTATTCGTTATGATAAAGTAAGCTAATCTGTGTATATATATATTTTTTGTGTAAATCTTAGTTTTTCCCCATAACTTGTATATTATTATTATTGAAACTGATTAGTTTGAAAACTACTTTAATTCAATATTTAGTCGTGATTGAATGTTTGTTTAGTAAATTGCCAGTTTCCGTAAAACCTAAAGGAATTTCAAACCATACTTCCAAGCATAATGTTGGGAATAGCTTATATGGATGTAGGTAATGGTGGTGTTAATCCGTTACCTGGAGAAAACCTTTTCTGTCTTAAATACATATACGGTATTGTCTTACTATACGACGATGCACACACAATGCAATCCTTATTGTGTCATCTGGCAATTAGTGTACGGAGTTATGGCATGTGTATCTGCACCCTCTAAGTGCAAAGTATTTTCACTAAACTACCAGGATCCTGCGCCTGAACTGACTCTTGGTAGTGATTAGTTAGAAGTAATCGAGAATTACGTGGATCTGGGTTGATGTGTACGTGCTGTCGGTGTTGTGATTGATGAGATCAATTCTTGTATGGTGAAAGCCAGGGTGACTTATGTCAATCTAGGTCATCTTTTGCGCCTTCGTCGTGTTGGTCTAGTTGTAAAAGGTTGGATCTACATAGCGTCGATGAGAGCAGTCTTGCTCTATGCTTGTAAAACCTGATCTCTTCAAGTTGAAGATATTAAGCAACTCTATGTTTGACCATCATTGTCTCCGAAGGATTTCAAAACTATGTAAGTAATACAGAGGTTTGACAACTTATGTTCGGGCACAGTGACTATACTTCAATTGATGTTACCATTTTAATATACTGACTTCGGTGTCGATCCTTCTGTAACTTTATGTTACTTTTCCCAATAAAATGAATGTAATTTCTGTAAGTGAAAGAATTCTTTCTGGTTGTATTTTGTTAAACTAAACTGCTCCTCTCGTTATTATTATTTACGAAATCGAGTGTCCGACGCTCTATCCGGATTGATGGATATGAAGGGTTCATTTAGGGAAGTTAGAAAGCCTTGATCCCGAACCACCGGTGCATATAAGCTCCAGGATTCTAAGGGAACAAATGGCGTAATAACTTATTCTTGATCACTGACTACCATGAGACTGCATCTCCTAACATTGCTTCACTGCCTTATGGATATACCTGTAGCTGAAAGGCTTATGGAATAGTCACAGATACTCACTACTGAAATGTTTCATATATTGTAATACAATTGTACAAATATAAGATTGTTTTCTCTCTTTCTTCTTTTCTATCTTTCCCCTATAGTTAGGTTATTTATCTGAATCAATTGTAACTTTAGCTAAACGATCACCATTATTAGCGCATCAATTATTATGGAATATGAAAACAAATATATATCGTGATGAAGAAAGTTTAAAATTTGATAATGAAATTGGTAATCATTTATTAGCATTATCAAGTATAATACAAAATAATTTCAATGGGCCAACTTTAGCATTTTATCAAAGAGAATTTGAATTTTTCGATCAAATCACATCAGTTTCAGCGAAAATTCGGTTAGTTTCTTTTCAGTATAGTGTTTTGTAGATTATTAAATTATTGATTGAAACCATGAACCGATTGATGTTAGACCACCATTGAAAACCTGGAAGCACTGGAATGCCGTTTCATCCTATTGTGGGACTCCTCAGCGTAGTGCATATCCACGATCCCGCTCGCGGGATTCGAACCCAGGACCTTCAGTCTCACGCGCGAACACTTAACCTACTAGACCTCTAAGCCGACCGGTATCCAACTGTGATAATGTCTAACTTCAATCAATCCACGAAACTGCGTGACCATCTTCCATTATACTGAGGTAGATACTTGTCTATACCTAACACAGATTAGCTCCACTGGTCACTGCTTCTCATTAGAACTCCAAGAATCCCTTCTCAAAGCCGGTCACCAGTGAGCACATGGTTGAAGTTAGACATTAACATCATTTGATACCGGCTCAGTGGTCTAGTAGGTTAAGCGTTCGCTCGCGGAACTGAAGGTCTTAGGCTCGAACCCGGCGACGGGGTCATGGACGCGCACTGCCAAGGGGTCTCATAATAGGACGAAACGACCCTCCGTTGCTCTAGCGTTTTCAATGGTAGTCCGACATCAATCTGTTCATGATCTCAATCTTTAGTCTTTTTTTACATTGATTCTCGTACAAACACTTGTTTTCCAGTTTTTATGAGATTTTCTGTGTGTATGTGTTTGCTTTACGTGCGTTCTAATGTGTTTTTTTTTCAAGGTGAACCATCGTTTTTTAATTTCTGGTGACTGTACATTTTTGAAGCTGGACTGTTTTAATTGTGAAGTTTTTTATTATTTTTTTTCCAATGGGATTTAACTGGAAGGATGTCACTTCTATTTATTACGTCATAATTGTCTTCACTGATGGGCTGGTAATTTTAGTGAAGTAGATGATTATTTCCTTTATCTATTTATCTGTTCACAATTGAGCTATTTATTTATGTGAAATACTTGGTCAAGAGTATGGTTTGTTACTGTGTTGTTTTTATACATCAATCAATGAACACCGGTCGATTCTTCGTCAATTAATAAGTATCGTGTTATGGAGGTTTGTTGAATTTTATCGAAATCACGAAACGATATAAGTTTAATCACCAATAAAAACCAGAAACGCACTGGACGGCCGGTTCATGCTAGTTTAGCACTTCTCAGCAATGTGGATCGACGAAGTTAAGTGTTCTGTCACAAAGCCAAAGTTCCTAGGTTTGGTTCTCAGTTGCTGGATCGTAGATGTACATTGTTGAGGAGTCATCTACACGAACGAACCGGACATTCACTATTTCAGCCTTTCAATGGTTAAACAAAACCTATCAATTTACTGAATGTTGTTCAATTCTGAGAAGGGTTAATCATGCGGAGAACAGCTCGTTCAAATTAAGACAGCATTTCGTTTTTTATGACAATCAATCTGATTACTATGATGGCATAAAAATGTAACTCAGTTCGCCGAAGTGATATTTTCACTGTTTAGGGTCTTTCTCCAAATTTTAACTGAACAGCTTTCGAAGAACTAGCACAACCAATCACCCAATGGATTAGATATCAAGGAATTCAGTCAGTTAATGATTTCATATACAACTATATTTCTTCAAATCAATGTGACTTATAGGAGGATAGATGAGCAATGAAAAAATAGGTCGCGAAACAACCCTCCAATCCTTCATTTTTATCCATGCGGTCAATTTTAATATCAATTCGTTCCTTTGAGTTGAATATATCTAGCTTCCTAGTCAGTAGATTATATCCTTAGGGAACTGAGTGAACTTTTAGAACTGATGGCTACTACGAACAGGTCACCATGCCATATGCCTGTTATTATTGCTTTCATTCCATTGAGGGCATTTTTCCCTAATTTTACAAACGTATCTTCCTGTTCCTTTGCTAACACTTGTTTTTTTTTTATTATTTCTGGTGGGGTGTTCTTATAACGGGAATTTCTGTGGTGTTATGCCTCTGTTGATTAAACCGGTCAGCTGTCACTTGGGCGACTTGGAGTTTGAGTTAAAATCTACTTAGTTTGAAACAAAAAAGCGTTTACTACTGCTAACATCCTTACAGAACAATTTAACTTAGAAACTGAATACGAAAATCTGTTTATTTATTACTGAATAAAACGGGTATTCAGTTCTGCCAGGTTTGAAATGGTGGTCTAGCTTGGATGGACTCATGAATTCAACTGTGAAAATATTACTGTACAGTTTACTCTGATGGTTCTTTTTTTTCCTCCTAAATTTTATAGATCATACCCTAAAGGTGAAGCACGTAAAAAGGCTTGTTTAGAGGCATTACGTGAAGTGAATGTGAAACCTGGTTGTTATTTACCATCGAATCCAGATTCTGTTGTATTAGAAATTGACTATATGTCTGGTACACCAATGCAATCAGCAGCAAAAGCTCCATTCTTAGCACGATTCAAGGTTAGAAATAAATTTAATTGTTTGAATATTGTAACAAATCTGTATAGGTGTTGTTCATGTCTTCTTTTTTTTATGAATCCACTTTATATGTAAGCAATAAGTTGATTTATGACTGGATAAGTGGGATTCATTAAATAATCTCTGTTTCGGATAGAAATAATTTGACTGATCTACAATTATGTCGTTTCATCAGTGAAATTCATAGAATTCGTGATTTCCTTCTCCTGAATTGATTGGAATATCAGATTAATGAGTAAATAGTTTGCAGGAGGATTCCTATTTACCATCTGTAACTGTATGGCTGGCTGATATTAGACGATTGACTCGTTTAATTATAAGTTTGCTGTAATTGGATGTCGACCCAATGGATCCACTTACTTACTTACTTACTTACTTACTTACGCCTGTTACTCCTCGTGAAGGAACATTGGCCGCTCACCAGCATTCGCCATCCAACCCTGTCTTGGGCAATCCTTTCCAGCTCCTTCCAATTGTTATTCATGCTTTCCATATCTGCTTTTATTTCCCGACGTAATGTGTTCTTTGGCCTTCCTCTTTTCTGCCTTCCTTCAGGATTCCAAGTTAGGGCTTATCTCGTGATGCAGTTTGACGATTTGCGTAGTGTTTATCCTATCCATTTCCATCGTCTTTTCCTAATTTCCTCTTCAACTGGAAGTTGGTTTGTTCTCTCCCAGAGAAGGCTATTGCTGATGGTATCCGACCAATGGATGTTGAGTATCTTGCAAAGACAGCTATTTATAAATACTTGCACCTTCTTGATGATGGTTATTGTAGTTCTCGAAGTTTCAGCTCCATACAGTAGAACTGCCTTGACATTCGTATTGAAGATTGTGACTTTGATATTGGTTGAAAGTTGTTTTGAGTTCCATATGTTCTTCAACTGTAGGAATGCTGTCCTTGCTTTGCCAATCCTCGCCTTTACGTCTGCATCTGAAACTCCTTGTTCATCGATTATGCTTCCCAGGTATGTGAAGGATTCTACCAATGGACCCAACAATCAAGTATTTTCAGCGAGATGTGAAGATCCTGGGTCTGTGGATGCTCTGACGGCAGAGTAAACAAGGAACCAGAGTTTATTCATGGTATACTAATTAAAAGGGGTTACATGCGTCATTATCAAAAGAAATATATATTAAAAGCCAATAGGTTTATTCAAATAGTATATTTTGTTTGTCGTTTTAAACCCTTGATGTTAGAATGATACTTTATTATGTTTCTATACACTTGTCTGAACGCAATATTCACTTATATATTGTTCCACATAAAATACACTTTTCATACCTATATTATATCATTTAATGTTTTATTGTTGATACCTAGGTTCGTCGAGTCGGTGTTCAAAATTTAGAAACTGAGGCTATCAATGCAGCTAAAGAGGCGAAAAATCTTACAACTATACCTGACGATCCTTCATCTCAACATATGCATCATCATCGTGATTCCATAGATGGCATTAATCCAGTTGTGTAAGTTTGACAGATCGATAGATATATCACTGTAAGAGGTTTATGGAGTTTTGTAATTTACATTGCCGATTGATGTTAGTTTGGCACCCATTGAAAACCAGAGAGCACTGTACAGCTGTTTCGTCCGAATATGGGACTACTTAGTAATTTACATTCACAGCTCAAGTGCTTATCGAAAGCAAGACCTTTAAGTCTGACGGTGACATTCAAACCACTAAGTCGGCATCCACTTTACCTGCATCATACTCGACATAACTGAACTGCGCTGGTCGCAATTTCTTATGACTTTTCGAAATTAATCTCTATTGAGCTCATGATTTTTATTATGAATAAGGTAAGGGAGTTTGGAGAGGTTTTTTAAGTTTCTAGTCAAGTTCAGTTTGCAATAATTATATATCTATATTCAACAAAAAATATAAATCTCAGAAAGAAAAGTGACTTGTCGACAAGTAATTCATAATAAAACGTTAGGGTTACAGTTTAGGGTAGTATTACTATTGCCACCCTACTAGAAGGCAATAGGTTTTTTGAAGTCTACGAAATAAAACGGATTGTCATTGGTTCATTAGCTGATCAGAAGTTTAGCATGTATCCCATAAACAACGTAAAATCTGAGACATTTGTGCAACAGGTCACATTGCTACATCATATTAATACGACATTGTGGAGGTATCAAGATAAACACTAGTTATATATAAGTAATAACAGTGTAGACAATATGATTTGAAAAGGAAGAATGAGTTCCCAAAATAAAAGTTATCAGTATTATCCCGACCTTTCGGGATTGATTCTGAGTCATTTCAGCTAACATCTCCAGTCGTTTGTTGAGATAATCGAGCAGACCTTAACCACCTACTCTGAGCCTACGTACATGACTCAGTCCAACAGTAATTTACTCGATAGGCTGATATTATATCTTGGTTCAGGTGGTTCTAACCTTTTTGCAACTTACTCCTACACTAGCAAGCTGTTATGACTTTTACCGTGTTGATTACCCCGTGACTAGACCGCCGATTGGAACACGACTTATATGACCTTGGCACTGTGCCGAACCAATGACGCGTTAACTAGTACATGCAGCCTAGAGTCAACTCCGAATCATTATTGGTCTCTCTCGCCTTGTCCTTCCCGTTCACTCAAACAAGCAATTTCAGCCTCCACTGTATGAATATTTCAGACATATGTGCTTAATATACAAGCAGACCAAACCTCATCATATCATAAAATAGAAAATAACATAAAATATGGTTGTTTTTTTTATTTTGAATAGGAAAATGCTTTCCCAGGCAGGAATAAAATACAGACGACGTAATAGTCATCATGAATCACCGAATAGCCCATCTAGACAAACTCTAGCATCAGTTCCTCATAAATACAGTACAGTTGCATCACGTGCTAATAAAATTCGTCAACCTACCGCAAGTGGTGGCAGCACAACGAATCCCACAGATGATAAACAACTAACTACATCCACGAAATTAGGTCATGTATTCATGCAAGCCTGTATTTTCAAAGTTGGAGATGATGTTCGTCAAGTAAGTAATTATTACCATGGAAAACGAATCAATGATAATCGTTTACTGTTGCTAACTAACTTAATAAGCGGTGGATCCCTCATATCCACCAACCCAATTAAAGTACCGGACATTCGCTTTTCGTCCTCTCAATTTCGTAAACAACACCCCAGTGAATAGGAATTCCCTAACAGTGGATGTATACACGTTGCCATTTGAGAATATTTTGAGAGGGAGAGCTGAATCTCTTTAGGGGTCAATTAGAAGTTGGTCTAATATAGACAATCCATGTTTGTCCGCATTGATCTTTAATCTCTAGCACGTTAATCTCCCATAGTTCAATTGTATAAAAAACTTACTAAAACATGATTATTAGATGAGATAAATGGTCCGCATACACGACAATTTCACTCCAAGCACAATACTAATTTTTGTACATTGTGAATTTCAGACCTAATTTGTTGTTAAATTTCGTATAATCAGGTGTTAAAAGCATAATAAATCAATTTACTAGTCATTTTAATGACTTCTGATTGAAAATCTTCACTGAATCAAATATGCGGTTGAAGTTTTTTTGCGTATGCTGTTCTGTTTATTGAGCTGCATAGTTTACCTGTGAACTTCTTACTATCCTTTATAGACAACCTCATCATCATCATCAGGGAAAACTTTAAAAAAGTATTGAACATTTTGAATCTCTGCACATATTGATTAGCAACTTATTCTGATCTCCTTGAATTTGATTGTTCTTTGTACTGATCCAAGTTCAGAAGCTAAACCAAAGAGAAAAAAATAATCGAAATAAATATGAAAATAATGAAAAGACAAGGATTAACAACAATCCTTCAGATATTAAAGTCATCTGAACAAGTTATTATTAATATGTTCTGGAATTTGTTATGTTCACTACTACTTATCCGTCTATCAATAAAGGGACGAGTATACTGTATGGCAGTCCATCCTGTTTTAATTTACGGCAGCGAAACATGGCCATGAAGAGTAGAGGACACTCGTAAGCTATTAGTATTTGACTACAGATGCCTTAGAAATATTGCTGGCGTCTGCTGGAATCACCGGATAAGTAATAGTGAGGTTAGACGCATGATATTAGGGATTGATGGTAAATCAGTTGATGAGGTTGTGAATCTTCATCGACTGAGATGGTTGGGCCACGTGTTACGTATGCCTGAACACCGATAACCACGACATGCAATGCTAACCGGGGTAGGGGATGGTTGGAAGAAAGTTAGGGGCGGCCAAACCAAAACGTGGCATCAGTGCCTGAAGTCACTAACTTCTAGTCTGAGCCATGTTGGGAGATGCAGACTACTTGGTTGGAGTCCGCGTGACTATCGTAACGAATGGTTGGAGACTGAGGAAAATGGCTCAAAATCTATCACAATGGCGTAAATGTATACACTTTGTGTCTTCCCTTAAACTAAAAGATTAAAATCGCTTCATATCTTTCTTTCTACGAACTAATTCTTTCTTCCTGTACTATATCCTTATTGCAATCTTTCTTTTATATATTACAACTACTGAATTAAGTGCTTCTATAAATCCGGTGTTCATCTTGTTGTGCTAATAAGGTGTGGCAACTTGGACCGATGCATATATGTGCCTGGTCTTACGTTGTAGCTGAATGACCGACTGACTACTACTTAAAGTTTGTCTTGACCATATTGTCTAGAATGATATTCTAAGTTTCACAATTAAACTCTATAGTTCAAAAAAAAAAAGAAGAAAAAAAAGAAAAAAAAGATCACCTCTGAAGTTATTCAGTTGAACAATTACAAATCTTCTTCATCACTTCGCTTAAATTCATTTACTTCAGTTATTGAAGAAAAAAAAAAGTTTAACAAATCAACATTTAATATGATTTCAAGCCTATTCCAATTACATGAATGAAACTATTCATTCTATTGACAGCATCAATCATTTATATGATTCCAATTGAATTGAAATACATCTGTTTAATCATTGCATATAAGAATAATAATAATAATAATAATGATTGACAGATATTTCAATGTTAATTATCATTTATTGTTGGGCTTTTTTCTTTCTTTTCTCTTTTTTCTCTCTTTTTTCTCGTTTCTCTCTTCTCTCTTTTCTCTTTCATGTTATTTCACATTTATTCTTTACAAGGATATATTGGCATTACAAATTTTACAATTATTTAAAAATATATTTGAAAGATGTGGATTGGAATTATTTGTTTATCCGTATAAAGTTGTTGCAACTGCACCAGGAGTAAGTTGGTTAATAACAGTTTTGATTCTTCTTCTTCTTCTTATTATTATTATTATTATTATTGGTATAAATATTATTATTTCCTTAATGTTGAATTAAACATAAAGTATAAAGTAGGATTGAAGGATACTTGTAAGTTCACTAGTATTTGATCACAGATATTATTCGTATCCTTTGGGATTAGCGAGTAAGTAATAGTGAAGTTAGACGCAAGGTATCAGGTCAGTCAGTCAGTCAGTCAGTAACAGCGTAGAACTTCGTGCGTACATACATCAGTTCGAGGTGCCACACCACCTTAGCACAGAGATGCAGTTGTCGATTCAAATCCCGTAGTGGTAGAGGGTGTAAGAGTATAAGCAGTAATTCGAAAGATTAAGGTTTGAAGGTGTTATTCAAGGAGTATAATCCAATGAAATAAATTTGGAAATAGGAAAAAAGGGACATGAAGAATTCAGAAGATTAGAATTTGGGAGAACACAAAGAATGTATGCACCTGCGCCATTGCAAACGATTTTGAGCCATGTCATTCGGGGTCTCTTACCATCGGTTTCTATCATCTCGTGGTCCACAACCAGATAGTCTATACCTATCAACATGACTCAGTTCACTTGTCAGTGACTTCATGGATTTGTGCCATGTTTTGGTTTGGCCGCCTCTAGCTTTCTTCCAACCTACTCCTATACCACTGAACATAGTACGTCGAGGTAGTCGGTCGTTGGGCATACGTAACTCGTGTCCCAGCTATCTCAACTGATGAAGTTTCACTACTTTATCAATTGATTTGCCATCCTTACCTAGTACCCGTTTCCTAACAACTGTGTTACTTACTCGATGTTCCCATGATATACGAGCAATGTTTCGAAGACAACTATGATCGAATACTAGTAACCTATGGATATCCTCTACTCTTACCGGCCATGTTTCACTGTCATAAAGTGGGTCGGGACGAACTGCTGCGCAGTAAACCCGTCCTTTGGTTGATAGACGGATATCTTACCTACGCCATAAATGACGCAAGTTGGTAAAAGCTAGTCGATGATAAATCGGTTGATGAGGTTATGAATCTTCATCGACTGAAATGGTTGGACCACGTATTACGTATGCGTGGACCCTGATTACCATGAGGCGTAATGCTGACGAGTATTAGAGACGGATGAAAGAAAGTTAGGGGTGGCCAAATTAAAACGTGGCATTAGTCCTTGAAGTCACTAACTTGTAGTCTGAGCCATGTTGGTAGATGCAGACTACATGGTTGGCGTCCGTGTGACTACCGTAACTAATGGTTGGAGACTGAGTAACATGGCTCAGAATCGATCACAATGGCGTAGGTGTATACACTCTTTGTCTTCCCTTAAACTGGATACCTTTCTTTCTACGAACTAATTCTTTCTCCTTATATGAAATGTTTTTTACTACCATTAAAGTAACTACTTCTATGAATTTAGTGTTACTGAGGCATAGCAACTTGGACCGATGCATATGTGTGCCTGATCCTACGTTACAGATAAATTGTTTCATGAACTTTCTGCTAATTTTACAATCACTAATAATAGGAAGCTGTCGGACGAGCGTTTCATCGTATTGTGGAACCCCATGCTCCCATTGAGATCGATATGATTGGTTAACTGACATTGAAAATGTAGACTAGTATAGGTGCTCATCGTAAAGACTAAGGTTCGACCCCTCAGTAAAGTTATCAGTGTACACTGATGATTAATTTAAATAATAGGTCAACAAAATAGTTTTCCTTTCTGGTTGTTTTCGGTTAGATCCTCATCAGGTCTTACTCTAATGTGCATCAGTATATAATGCAGTTAACCTCTGTCTATCGTTGACTCGACGTTTGGTGTTTCCTCAACTAAAGGATAAATTACCTGGTTCTGCCACATCTATGTGTATCTACGAATTGAGCTGCTCCTATGGAGAAAGCTATATTGGGCGCACAACCAGACATCTGAGCCAACGAATTAGTGAGCACCTCCCCTCGTGGTTAAGAAAGGATATCGTCAAAGCAATAGTCAGCTCTGTTCTATCATACTTCATCGATAGCGGTCATGTAGTTGACAGAAATAGGTCATTTGAAGTAATTTATCATATTCTTACTAGTTTTCCTTATGAGTTTCGATCTCATCTGTTACACATAGTAGAAGCCAAAGAGATACGAGCTAACAATTTTAGGATCTAATCGAAAAGGTATATTTATTTAAAAAAAAAATTTCTCCTTTTAGCGTGGTGTCATTGAATGTGTACCAGATAGTAAGTCACGTGATCAAATTGGACGTCAAATTGATGGCAAATTATATGAATACTTTTTAAGTATATATGGTGATGAAACTAATCCCAGTTACCAAACGGTATGTGAATATTTAGTTTGTAAACAATTGTTCTGTTGTTGTTTTTCATATTTGCTTACATTCGGTTTCTCCATAGACATTAAAATATAAATATCTTTTTAATAAGTTGTGATAGAGAATAGGCTAAAATAGTTATATGTTAGGTTAATATACTCTACACAACAGTAAATTATGTTTCACTATGAATAATAATCGTTAATAAAAAATAACAGCAATACGAACCGTATCTCTCTGATGGCTGGAAAATGTATTGAACACATACACCTATCTACCTACCGTTCACTCTGTTATTATGTTATGGTTATAAAATGAGTATGAGGCGAGGTCATCCGTGACCCAAATATTTCAATGGTAACGTCTTATAGTGTAAAGATAGATGAAACTGGTTCAAATCCCTCATGAGCTTATCAGTCCTCTCTAAATTGTAGACATTCCTTATCAAAGACTGTCAACTAGTACGAAACCTTATTCGAGCAGGATCTCTTTTCGACTACTCTCAACCTCTTAACAGTGGGTTTTCTTTGAAAGAAATATTAAAGTATCCAAACTGAGATATAATGTCAGTTCGTTGAGTCAATTGGCCAGTTGACTTAGGCGGTAACAAAAATATACAAATTTCCACGTTTGATCTCTGTGTCGGTTCTTAAGTACAGATTTATTCCACGGTACAATGATGTATGTATTCGTCGTCCTCTGAATTCGCTTTCTTTTTTAAAAAAAATTTACTTAACTGTTTCTTAGAGAATCCGATTTTTGGTGAACTTTTACTCGTTTTTTATCATTTAAAACCATATCCCCACGAGTCTCCCACTTATTGTTTATTTAATGCTTTGTTAGTATAAGGTTTTGTGAAGATTGTAAACTTTTCATAGTTTAAGTAAAGGGCTGATCTTAGCTAGACCAGTTGTTCTGTATTTGTATGGAACTTCTTAACAGTGTGAAAATCATGACTCTGTATTTGGAAATCAAACTTTGGACCCATGAACTCGCACACAAGTCCTCAACATCTACAGGCCACCAAGTTAGTGTCCCTTAGTTTATATCCAATAGAGTTCAGTGATGTCATGTGTGAAACTGTTGTCCTCCGCAGATAATTGAATTAATTTAAGTACGATATGTATACTATTTGATCCTGATTTGTTGGTTTGGATGTCCTGGATTCAATTCTCTTTGACCAGGTTACTTGATGCATATTTCTGAGTAATTTTGATACTTGAACAAAACAACTATCCAATGCTTCCTGGTCACAATTGATTGATCACTGGGTGGTGATCAATCTCATGCTTGTCTAGTCCTTATTAGTGCAGATCGAATGCTATCGATCATGTTGCAATGTGGCCACCAGTCTAGGTGACTCGACACTGTGGGCACTATGTATTGAGATTTAGATGGTGGTTGGAGGTAGTCAACAGGAAACCCTGGACCCGGGTTTCGTGCTACTTGGCACTCGTCAGCAAGGTGTACCTGTAATCTTGAGGGAACTGGTGCTCCCTGGCGGATTCGATCTCGTGTCACCAAGCTTCACAGTCAGAGACGTTACCACTGAGCTATCCGAGCCGTGACTGACCTCCTGTAGGACTGAGATGTAATCACAATTGATTGATCACTGGGTGGTGATCAATCTCATGCTTGTCTAGTCCTTATTAGTGCAGATCGAATGCTATCGATCATGTTGCAATGTGGCCACCAGTCTAGGTGACTCGACACTGCGGGCACTATGTATTGAGATTTAGATGGTGGTTGGAGGTAGTCAACAGGAAACCCTGGACCCGGGTTTCGTGCTACTTGGCACTCGTCAGCAAGGTGTACCTGTAATCTTGAGGGAACTGATGCTCCCTGGCGGATTCGATCCCGTATCACCCAGCTTCACAGTCTCTAACTACCTGAGTCTAAGGTTTCCTGTCGACTACCTCCAACCATCATCTAATGCTTCCTGGTTTTCAATAATGGACTAGTCAAGATGAATTCATTTATTTAAGCTAATGAATATTTCATACTTATTATCATGATGATTAATTTCTGTTTCAAATAAACAAACAAACAAACAATAATGTTTGTTCATTTGAACTATTTTCTTTTCTATATACCTCTTTATGTTAGTAATAATAATAATAATAATAATCATCATTTCGGTATTCATCATTGTCATTATCATCGACATTTATTAATATTTAATGTTGGAGATTATCGGTAATTTATTATATCTACCTGTGTGTATCCAACAGAATCCTATCACATTAACGAACTAACTAACTACTTAACTAATTAGTCTTAATATTTCACTCATTTTTAATTATCATCTATAGAGTCAATTATCTTCAATATTGTTTTGTGTATAATATTGATTATATATAGAAATCTCAATTTTAGCGATTCATACAAGTCTATATCCATATAGAAATATCTTACCGATATTAGATCAATTCACTAAGAGAGAATTCCTTATGATAACAACTATTTATATTGTTCATTCATGTTGATGAATATAATTGTGTATGTTGAAGGTTGGGGGTGGGGATGGGGGAAATTGGAAAGGGGTATCTAATGTGAAAATTTGCCGAATTATTGAGAGAAATAAAGAAAAACAAAACAAAAAGGAATACAAAACATAAATTATGAATAGGATTGTTAACTTATTGGAATAGAAAAGTAGGATTGAAGAGAAATAGGAAAAATACATAGGTATGTTAATAATAATAACAACAACAAGAAGAAGGTAAAAGAAAAACGAAGTTCACAAAATAATCATAAAATTGATGTTAATCAGTTTTAATGTCACATGTAGGTATATGGGTTATTTTGTGTTGAATATATACATGCTTTCGAATGTAGTATGTTAAAAGGGAGGTCAGTTAATACCGCTTATTCTCTTTATCCTTATGAACGAGTATGATGAATGTCCAATACTCTTTTCACCAGCTAATAATATTAATGTGGTCACTTGTAATTAACTTTGAAGTGAATTACCACAATTCAAATAATGAAGTTATGACTTGTAGTGTCCAATTACATCTGATTGTGAGATTATGGGTTTTACCAATCCTAATCAATGTTCGTCCGATTTTACTCAAATTTGATTACAGTTAACGAGAACTCAATGATTTTGTTTTGTTTTGAGAGGACGATTAGCAGATTCTTATAGTAGGAACTCGGATCCATTCAGCTGAATTCGAAGGAAGTCAGGATACGTTGATATTTCAAAAATTCAAACTCGTCATAAAATAACTACAACTGTGACCTCAGAACACGTAAGAAAAATTTCAAACTAAAGACAAAAACAACCAATCAGGTCAATAGAGTATTAAAAAATTGAAAAACAGTGACCGAGAGCTTTTTTGCATGCCATAGCTACTAGTTACTGTGAGTTGCTCCTTCCAGATCTAAAGGTGGCATGGGTTTTGCTGTGGTGCCTAGCTTTGTTTCCACGACGTTGGTTGCTACTGTAGCCATGTCTACAACCTTTAGTACAAATCATTATTTGTTTGTTTTATCTCTAAGTAACTAAAACACTTGATGTAATTCATTCTATTCAAGATTAACGCTTAATTAATTCGTTTAATTTCTCTCTCCCTCTATCCCTTTTGCATATTGATTTTAGGCTCGTCGAAATTTTACATTAAGTTTAGCTGCCTACAGTGTATTTCTTTATTTAATACAAATTAAAGATCGTCATAATGGTAATATTATGATTGATAAAGTTGGTCATATTATACATATAGGTAAGTGAGAATAGATAAAGGATTTCTTTTTATTTGTAACTATGGTCACAGTCACTTTATTTTTTTTGTGTGGTGTTGTTGTATTCTCGATAGTTTGGAATGGACAGATTTCGCTGTCATTTCTGCACAAAATAAATCATAAATGATCTATTCCATTAAGTTGTTTACTCGAGTATTGTCAGAAGTACGAGGGTGGTTTTTACTTGTCATTCGTTCATCCGGTGGAAAGATACTCTGTGAAGGGAACTGGGTTGAAGAGATAGTTTTAATAACCTAAAAGTATGACTGCATTGTTCAAGGGACAACTGCTTGAGACGCGTCATCACTCGACATTGCATACACTATATTTTAAATTAGGTGATTTAAAATTTAAAATTAGGTGGTACTATGCTCAATAGTAACCTCTCAGACTTTCAATTTGGGTGATTTGACTTCAAATCCACTTTTGAGTATCCCTTTCTTCATTGTCCCCAGTACACCTTGCTGATGAGTCTCAACTAACCACTTAGTATCACCGATACTATTTCGTTGCTCAAAATGAAGTAGGTGGAAAAAGGCTTGAATCCTAGAATCTGCTGGTTGGAAAGCAAGAGCTTACACCATTAATCTATTACTTCACATAAATAATAAGGATTTAGGAAGGAAATCTGCTTTACCCGTTAGTAATTGCAAGCTTGACATATTGAACAGATCATTAGGATTGGTAGTTACGGATTACATATTCATTATTTATTTACAGATTCGGATTTATTCCATCTTTCTCGCTTCATAGTAGTTAAATAGTCTTCTCATCAGACATGAAGGTAGAGTATTTCTTCTTGATGTTATAATGAAAAGCCATGACTGATGAAGTTCATACGTATCCACAGTAAAACAGTTGTCACCAATTGCTTTGAATGATCAGTGCGATATATGTTGCAGTTCTAATGACTAAGCGTTCGTGGAGAAACCTGAAGGTTTTAGCTTTGATTCTTTGTCGAAGTAATGAGTATGTGCACTTCTGAGAAGTCCTATATTAGAATAACTCATCTAATCAATATTCTCTGGTTTTCAATGATACTCCGATTGAGATCAATCTACGACGAATGTAAACTTCAAATTTAGACAGTCTTCATAAAACCACTTCAAATTGAGATATTGTCAATTATTTTAGTACATAGACATGTAATTTTCCCCTGAATTGGTTTACATGTTTTCATCCATTGTATATTCTGCTAAGCTTCTTTTTTTCTCTAATTTCATCAATACTTCTAACAGACTACTGTAGTGTTTTTACATACTCATAATTAAAATACTAAGATTTCCACGATGTAAGTCCCTAGTTTGAATCTCACTCTACCTACGTGAATATTCAAATAGTATTAATCCTGTGTTTCATATTGTGACTCAAGAGTCACCCTCAAACCTGTGTACTTACTAAATAAGTTACATAAATAAAATGAAACTAAATATATTCACCGAAGTAAAAATATTTTTGATGAGAGAGCAATCGATTCCAGTCTTGTAAACTTTGAGTCAGTCACCCACCAACTGTTTTAGATGTTTTGCACAATATCACGAACTGATTGAGGGTCGTAGAATCAGGTACTGACGTAGGCACATTGACCTTGAAGTAGCCCAAACGGTTCTGATTGGCTCGTCCATAAATTATAGTCTCACCAAACTAACAGTCTTCACTGTCTTTCTATCAGTCGATCAGGTACAACGTTGGACCAGGTCCAAGTTGCCATATCATGCCATGTGATACAAGGAGAAAGAATTAGTTCGTAGAAAGAAAGGTATCCAGTTTAAGGGAAGACAAAGAGTGCATACTCCTACGCCATACTGATCGATTCTGAGCCATGTCACCCAGAGTCTCCAACCATTGGTTACGATAGTCTCATGGACTCCAACCATGTAGTCTGTGTCTACGAACATGGTTCAGACTAGATGTTAGCGATAACTTTTCTATACTAATTATAAAATGTTTGAGGAAAAGATGTTTTAATGAAAAAAAGTTTTTTTTCTTTTTTTTTTTTTACAGATTTTGGTTTCATGTTAGAAAGTAGTCCTGGTGGTAATTTAGGCTGGGAAAGTGATATGAAATTAAGTAAAGAAATGTTTATGATTATGGGTGGTCGTATGGATAGTCCATCATATTTATGGTTTGAACATTTATCTATACAAGCATATCTTGCATTAAGACCATATCAAGAATGTATTGTATCATTGATTTCATTAATGTTAGATAGTGGTTTACCATGTTTTCGTGGACAAACTATTAAATTATTAAGACAACGTTTTGCACCACAATTATCTGATCGTGAAGCAGCTGCATCATATTTACGTATTATACGTACATGTCTTGCACATTGGCGTGATAAATCATATGATGTTTTACAATATATGCAAAATCAAATACCTTATTAAAATTGTTCTTAATTCATTCTCAACAACATGTATGTATGTATGTATGTATGTTGTTACATATAATGTAAACTCTGAAGCATAATGATGATATCCCTTCAAACAAATTACGCTCAATTTTCTCTCTCTCTCTCTCTCTCTCTCTTTCTTGTCTACCCGTCCATTCGTCCGTCCGCGTGCATGCGCTCGCGCTCGCGCTTGCATTAAATCAGTCAATTATCATTTCTCATTCAAATGATCAATTTATCCATGAATATATTCCCTTCTTCAAGATAATAATAATACTATACTATACCATATATTCTATACAATCATAATTATATTCTATCTGTGATGATCTATAATGATTAAACTATGTATATTTTATGCTTAGTTTATGAATTAATCCTTATGTTGTTACGTCACCACGTTAGAAAACAGAAAGAAGAAGAAGAAGAGGAAGAAGAAAAGAACAGGTAATTCGGCGCACCCCTCACCACCACCTTATTTAATCTTTGTTGTTACTATCACTATTATTATTATTATTATTATTATTATTATTATTATTATTATTTGTTGTCGTTCCTGTTTACCTTATAATAGTTGTATAATTGATTCTTCTCTTATTCTACAATGAAATAATCCTTCTAACTACATTTTCATATATGTAAGTATGTGAGAATGTATGATGAAAAGCACAGGATTAGTGAAATAGATAATCTTTTATCTATGTATATTGTATTTCAGTCAATATGTCTAAGAAGAACTATCACTTTCTATTTCCTATACCAACTATCTTCCCTTCTATATGTATGTATTCTTCAAAATTGCCTATTATATTTACTCTGTCATCTTTTTTCTCCAGATTAAAAAGTGAACCAACCAAACAAACAAACAAATCTATTGAACTTAAATACAAAGATCGTATTTATTTGTTTTCTTTATTTAATATAAATTTCCTATTTTATGAAAGATCCGATCTTTCTATTTGATCTTAATTTAGTTGATTATAATGAATGTAGAGCTTGACACTTAACCCTTTAATGCCCTGTTAGGACTGAGGGTGGGGAGAGATAGTTCTTCCCTTCAAAATTCTCTCGCAGCTACTGCCATGGAAGTCCTATTTACTACTTTCTGGTGATGGAGTTATTGTTTACGAATAGAGGGAATGAAAAGAGAATGTTCGTCTCTTTAATCTAGTTGGTGGATATGGAGGATCCATCTAGAGGAGTTGGAAAACATTCATTCCAAACCAATGTGTTCCAGTATCCTGAAGGAACAAATAGTGTATAAAATCATTCTTGGTCACTGACCACCATGGGACTGCATCTCCTTATGATGCTCCATTGCGTTGTGCATTAGACCTCTGGGTCAAAAGATTGGAAGTCCCCCCCTAAGCAAATTACCTATCTCATTTTAGGCACCTAGATCAAACATAAATTTAATGATTTACGTGGCACATACATTTTGGTCTCCCTTTGTACTAATGTTTTAGTATTTTAATAAGTAAATAAACCATCATGACCAATTCTAAGACAGATCAGCTGATATCAACTACTGATCGCTGTTATTAAGTTGACCCTCACCTACGTAGTCTACATCTACCAACAGTGTTTTAGTCGTGAACATTCTAAATTATTTCATGAAGTGAAATTAGAAGTTTATAGAGCTTTATTTTCATGAACAATGTATATTAAATTAATTAATTACTGACTACTAAGAGATGCACACCGCTAGTGTAGTGCACGAGAACACAAGTGGGGACAATAGAATGTATTTGAATACTAAATTACAGAACAACTTAGTAAAATATGAGAACCATACAGTAAATTCTTCATTTGCAAAATGTCAATCAATTGTCTCAGACTTCGTTGTTCCTTCGTTAATAAATACTTTCAATAAAGACTTGTATCTTCTGGATGATGGCTTTCGTATTTCTGCAAGTTTCCCCCACATATAGTAGAACTGTCTTCACATTTGTGCTGGAAATTGTGACTTTGGTGCTGATCGACAGACGGATTTTTTGAGTTCCAGATTTTCTTCAATTGTAGATATGCTGATCTTGCTTTGCAGATCTGCACATTCACATCTGCATCAGATCCATCGTGTTCATCAATGATGCTGCTCAGATATGTAAATAATTTTACATCTTCCATAGCTTCTCCGTCATGTGTGATTCGATTGATGTATGTTGACTTGTATAGGAGAATCGTGCTTTTCCCTTTGTGTATGTTGATACCTACTAATACTGAGGCTGCTGCTGGTACACTGATCGTCTTTCCCGACATTTGTAGTTGCGTGTGCGATGGAAGAGCCAGATCATCTGCGAAGTTTAGATCGTCCAGCTGCATCCTAGATATCCACTGTATCCCGTGCTTCCATTCAGATGTTGGCGTCTTCATGATCCAGTCGATCACCCGGAGAAAGAGAAAGGCTGAGAGTAAGCAGGCTTTCCTGACACCGGTCTTTACACCCAACGAGTCTGTCAACTATCCTTCATGCACGATTTTGCAGTTTAACCCATCATAGGAATTCCGTATGATATTGACTATCTTCTGAGGCACGCCGTAGTGTCGAAGAAGCTTCCATAGTCTTGTCCTGTCCACGCTATCAAATGCTTTCGCGTAGTCAATGAAGTTGATGTAGAGTGATGATTGATTGTTCCACAATGATCCATAGTATTGCCACTTGGTCTGTACATGATCGATCCTTACGTAATCATGCCTGTCTGTCTCGAAGTTGGGAGTCTACGGAGTTTTTCATTCTGTTTAACAATACCTTGTTGAAGACTTTTCCCGGTATTGAGAGAAGAGTGATGCCTCTATAGTTCTCACACTTGCTGAGGTCGCCTTTCTTTGGTATCTTGATCAGGCGTCATTCTTTCTAATCTGTTGGTACTTGTTCTTCATTCCAAATCTTGCTGAGGAGAATGTAGAGTATCCTTGCAGTTACTGCTACTTCTGCTTTCAGTGCCTCTGCTGGAATAATGTCTGGTCCTTCTGCTTTGCCACTTCTGATTTGTTTGATGACTATGCTGATCTCTTCAATTGTTGGTGGGCCGATATTGATTGGGACGTCCATCGGTGCTGCTTCGATGTTGAGTGGGTTCAGTGGAGCTCGATTCAAGAGTTCTTTGAAGTGTTCTACCCACCTGTTTCGTTGTTCTTCAATGTTGGTGATTACCTCGCCTTCCTTGCTTTTCACTGGTCGTTCTGGTTTACGGTGATTTCCAAAGAGTTTCTTTGTTATGTCATACAGTTCTCTCATGTTTCCTTCTCTTGCAAAAGTGATCCATTCCTTGTGATGGTGCTTCTTGTGGCCCAGAATCTCATGACATGTCGAAGTGATTGCCTCCTTGATCCCCTTCCAGTTGCTATCCATAGTAGTTCATTCTCTATTGAGTAGATCGTGAAATGCCTGAGTTCGTTGAGTTTGTCAGTATCCCGAAGAAAAGCCGTATTGAACTTTTGTGATGTTGCCCACACCGTTGTTCAGTGGTTCTTGAGTTTCAATTTCATCTTGGCGACCAGGAAGTGATATCTGATGCTATGTTAGCTCCTTTCCTGGTTCTCACATCCTCCATCGTCCTGTCGAACATTTTGTTGATACAGAATTGGTCGATTCGGTTTTGTGTGCGATCCGGTGAAGTGCATGTGGTTTTGTGTATGCGTTCATGTGAGAATATAGTGCCGTCTATGACCAGTTTATTGAAGGCACATAGGTTTGCAAATCTCTCACCATTTTCGTTCCTTTCTCCCAGTCCATGTCGTCCCATGATGTCTTCATATCTGGTGTTGTCCATTCCAACCTTGGCATTTAGGTCTCCCATCAGAATGATCAAGTCCTTTGTTGGGCACTTCTCGATGATTGACCGCAGCCTATCGTAGAATTTATCTTTGACGTCTTCATTGTAGTCGTTAGTAGGGGCATAGCATTGAATGACATTCATTGTAATGCCCTCTTTCTTTGCTTTGAAGGAGGCTTTGATGGTCCTGTGTCCATGAGATTCTCATCCTATAAGTGCGTTTTGTGCTTGTTTGGATAGCATCAGTGAAACTTCTTGCGTGGGTGGATCATTTTCTTCTTCATTGCCGGAGTATAACAGCAGCTGTCCTGAAGCTAGTCCCTGTTGTCCAACCTGCGTCCAATGTATTTCACTGATTCGGAGCACCTCCATGTCGTATCTCCTCATTTCTGCAGCAATTTGGAAGACTCTGTCTGTCTCCCACATTGTACGAGCATTCCATGTACCTAAATTAATGGTTGCTCTGGTTGTCAGATATTAATACAAAAATATATGGATAAAATTAACATAGACACTACTGTTTTCCCTTCTAATCTGTAGAATTAAGTGCCTAACGGATATAATCACAATAATCCCAAATCCCCTGGTGCGGACAAAGGTAGGAAGAGTCAGCTCTCCCTCTCGAAATACTCTCACTTGGCCACGTGTATACAGCCATTGACAGGGAAGTACTACTCACTGCCTTCTCGTGCCGTTGGTGTTGTTTACGAAATCGAGAAGACGGAAAGCGAATGTCCGGTGCTTTAACCGGGTTGGTGGATACGGAGGTTTCATCTATGGGAGTTGGGAAATCCTGATTCAAAACTAATGGTGCATATGAGCTCCAGTTTCCTGAAGGAACAAAATGCGTATGCACCTATTTTTGGTCACAGGCTACTATGTGACTGAACCTCCCAACGTTGTTCAACTCTCTTGTGGATTAAACCTTTTAGTCAAAGGCTCAGAGTGTGGTTCTCTAAGAAAACCACCTGCTTCGGTCTGGGAATCTGGGCAGTATCATAGCCCACACACAGATCAAGTGACTTTTGTGGCGCATATCTATTTGGTGCTTCCTTATACCAATGTTTATGTTTAAATAAATAAATCATTGAGTATACTTTGATCATTTTGTATCATTGAATAAAAATAAAGCGAAGGAAATTTCCTCTTTTCAACAAAATCATTTACTTACATTTGTATTTACAAAATATAAGTTTATAGAAGGATAGAAAAGGTTACATCATAAAATGATTCGAGATTTTAATTATCAAATGAGGTCACCTAATAATC